CTGCTATATATGTAACACTACTCTCTGTGCAGGTGGTCCACAATGGGATGATCCAGGAGGTGCAGCACCCCACAGCAGGAACAATCAGATTTCCGGGTAAGCCTGTCCTTACTGGATGAGTGCACTAGTTCCCCTGCATACCTAATCCGGGTATAGTACCACATTCATCGGTTCATATAATCAAACATGTCACTGTGTGCTATTTTACCTCCAGGTGTAACTGAGATATTCGCTTAAACACTAAAACGCACATCTCCAAACAAACGTTGTTCGTATTACTACGGTTACAAGGTATACGCTTAATAAAATTTGCTTAATAAACATACAAACTAATTTCTTTCGCACTGACAGGACCAGCCGTAAGATACAGTTTGTCCCAGACAGTGATGCCCCGTCCCCCTCCAACCCTCGGACAACACACACAGGAAGTGCTGCAGGGGATTCTGGGATATTCCGACATGCAGCTAAAGCAGTTGATAGAAGCTGGTGTTGTACAATAGTCACAGCTATTACTTAACCATCGAGGACATTTCCTGTTGTGACATATAATTGCATTATTTATTTAGATTACAGAATGAATGATTATTTATTTTTTTGATTATTTAATTCAAATATCTCAGGATCTGTAGGGTATGATAGATGGATATTCTCTATATCCTCCAAGTGAATGAAGATTGCAATACGCAGTGATAAATAGAGAATACTACTCGAGGTCTCATTACATACGAATTATACGAAACGAGTGTCCTTCCTATGGTATCTGACCGAGCGAAAGCGAGGTCAGATAACATAGGAAGGTCACGAGTTTCGTATAATTCGTATGTAATGAGACCGAGTGTGGTATTTTATTTATTACCCACGTCTTACATGCATTAAAATTGACAAAATAGCGTATTTTTGTTATGTTTTTGGTTTCAAACCGAAACCGGTTTCATAAAGAGGTTGCGGAAGAGTTTTGTACTGTAGTACAATATTTGCATGACGTCACACTAATGACGTCACTGCCATGGTAACCGACGTCACGATGCATGTCAGTTGTCATCGCCTCGTACAGCCTCCTACAGTAAACTACTCCGTTGCACCTCGTTTCTTGGTTTCCAGTTGCTTCATTCGGCTAACATCACTGGTGGAAACATTGCGTTTATGTTTTTATACAGATATAATGTCTCAGTTCGACTCACAATTAAACAGCGACACGGCAACGTTCGCAATGTTTACATTTCCACAATGCATTTAAGTTGTAGAATGAATGAATTCACGTGTTTGTTATGAATGAAAAAAATAGTTACGTCAGAATGTGACCTAATTGAGAGGTCATCGGTTATCCAATCAAATCGTTAGAATTTCAGGTCAAGTCGTTACGACACAGGTCAACGCGATACGACACTCGTGTGACGTACGAGATTAATATGCAACTACCCATACGTTGACCACGTGGGTAATAATATAATTTACGGCAAATGATTAACATGGATTAGTGATATAGACAACAATGTTGCTATACATACAAGTTGTTTACCAGGTATCGCCATTTCCCTATAAAATGGCTTACATCAATTATTACTTCTGCCCACACATCTTTTTCCATAATACATTCTATTGAACATCCACCAAGTGAAAACGCAAGAATAACATCATCATCTTTCTCCCAGACCCTAACAAAAAGTATTTACATCCAGAATATCACGCATGGTGTTACAGGGGAGGGCTGGATAATGCCCTGATTCAAATATTGAGAATATTGCAATAATTTAAGAGATACATATTGTGATATATTGACTGGAAGGTTTCTGTCCAAGTGCGTACATCATTAATTCATAATAGCTCATCTTCTTAGTTACGCCATACTCTCAGGCTCCCCGTCCCCACTGTGTATGGACTGACTGACTGACTGAGTTTTGGTTTTACGCCGCTTTTAGCAATATTCCAGCAACATCACGGCGGGGGACACCAGAAATGGGCTTCACACATTGTACCCATGTGGGGATTCGAACGCTGGTCCTCGGCGTGACGAGCCAACGCTTTAGCCACTAGGCTACCCCACCGCCCCCTGTGTATGGATGTATGCAAATAGAATGATATAGAACCTTAATGTGAAATGTTTAATTGAAGTATGGCAACAACGTTTTGCGAGCATAATGATAAAGGTAATGGTATAACATGGTTTTCATGGTCAGTGTTGTTTGCTTCAACAGAATGCACTTCAATGCAGTATGTAATTATTGTTACTGTATGTCCGTGATTCATTCATATTCAGCTCCCGTATAAACATGTGTTAACATGAACTATTGCAAAATGAAACAAAAACATGATTTAGGTGAACTACTTGAGATCCCATGTGACCTCCAATAACTGACTGACTGACTGACTGAGTTTTGGTTTTACGCCGCTTTTAGCAATATTCCAGCAACATCACGGCGGGGGACACCAGAAATGGGCTTCACACATTGTACCCATGTGGGGATTCGAACCCGGGTCTTCGGCGTGACGAGCCAACGCTTTAACCACTAGGCTACCCCACCGCCCCCTCAATAACTAAGATCCTTGACTAGAATGTCATTATACAGTCCTACAAAATGTATAAGAATTAGACCTTTATGATAAATTGATAACATATGTTCCTTTTTGAAGCAAACAAAATAACAAAATAATGTGAATTGTGAAATGGTCACTCAGAGTCAGAAGCTCTGCTTATTAGTCCAATTAAAAAAATGATCTATTTGCGGCCACTTAATTCCTCCAAAATGTCATATATGAAAACATTCAAGCCCACAAAACGTAAAGCATTTGGTAGAATATTTGGCACGTTTGGGGCCACTTGGTACTATACAAATCAAGGGCAGATAACTCAAAGAGAGCTAACTCTGGATGACCCACTATGTTGTAGAATGTGAACCATATCGCGATATTCGTATCGCGAGATACCGTACCGGTATATACCGGTTTACCGGTAATATTGCGCAGCCCTATTGAAGAGTACATTTCGGTCATTCATATTGATCGTACATGACATAAACACGTGCTTTACAATATCATTGGCGTCAGTTTTACAATAACATTCTCAAGAAACAATTTCAGATGATCCATAAAATACAAGTCTTGCAATATTAGTTAACTGGTCATTCTGTTCTACGGCTAGCTTCCAGAGATAATGTTCATTACTGGATCCTTTGCTGACATATTTTGACAGACTAAGTCTTGAATAAAGATGAAAATAAAATAGATTGTCTCGACGTGGGTTAATAGCATCATTTACGGCCTTAGAACAGCATCTCTTATTAATAATCTGACAATTATTGACGTTAGCAAACTATATCATTCACTTGATGAAGACGTATTTACTCTGGATATACTCCGAAACGTTGTGTTCCTCATAATAAAGAAGTTGACATCCATAAAAAGTCTCTTCCTTCTATCGCTTAGGTTATATACTTATGTACAAGTTGCAGCATATTATATATCGGAGATTTTCTACTACATACCTTGCATGAACAACAATCTGTACTCATAATTTGACCCCGGCGAACTAGAAACATTACTTTAAAATCACAGTTATACTTTGCATTACATAACTTTCCTAATAGGTAGAGGGCTCTTTTATCTATGTAATACTGTAGTGGCATGATGCCAATGGCCCAAAAGTGGGAGTGTGCCTGTGTAGTCCCTGCACCTTTAACAAATGGGCGTTGTACAACTTCAAGCTTTTCATACTCTTTGTGAGGAAGTTTATCCAATACGTTGCATCCATAGGGGCCACATGATAAGAATACCCTCTCCCGTGCTGCAGATGTAGAGTTAAGACCTCCAAAATACAACCCATTATTATGATTAGTGTTCATGAGTACTCGTAACTTTTCACATGCAGATTTTGTACATTCAAGTGATGATTTCTCTGTCCTGAGGTACACACATGCATATTTGATAGATTTTCTTTGGGGAACACGTACATCACCAATTGATACATTACTGGTTTTAATGTTATTGTTTGAGTATTCAAAGTGCACGTATATGATTATCGTTATGTATATGTACATAGTCACATTTTACATCGGGCCAAGGAGTAGCTAGTGAATGGAAATACAGTCCAAACAGATTGCAAATATCTTTTCCCTCGTAACAAGTTTGAGAACCATAGGTAAGTTTTTTCCGTGTTAGCTTTGTAGCGTTTTTAACGTTTTGTTGTTTGTAAAGGTCTTTGACATCTACTTCTGCTGCTTCGTAGAATTAACGAATCTATTTTTACATAACTGTTGCTTTGCATATCGATGTTTCTTACGAAAGAGACGTTTACTTTCTTAATATTTTGCATACACAGCATCGTTTTTATCTCTAACTTTACCATTTGTAACCCATTGACGGCGACAATTTCGCTTTTCTTTATGTAGAATATTAAGACAATCTTTCTTCCAGTAAGGTTTAAGATAGGGTCTAAGGCGTGTGGATGGAATACTATCGGTAGCAGAAGCATGTAAAGAGCCTGCTCACAATAGTACTCAATATAGTTTACATTGCTATCAAAGTGGGTATTATTAATTTCAGTGTCACGGAAGTAGTTTTCTGTTTTATCTCAATATAGCATTAGGGCAGTTTCATTTGCTTTAGTCCAGTTGAAGTTCTCTCCATGATAGCACCCAACATGTACACGGGGTAAGTGAGTTTAATTTTACGCCGCACTCAGCAACATTAACGTGTACTGGGAGAAGTATACAGACAAGTAATGGTAGGTGATCTGGTATGGTAGGTGTTAAAGGGATTGCTAGTGTCAATGACATATCCAGTGACCTTCGCTATGCAGTCGCTATGCAGCTAGGCACCTAGCCCTGGGTTTTATATAAATACCATGAATAGAAAAGATATTCTTCAGAGAGAATATCATATAGTTCCAAAACAGATTACAGTTCGTCATAGTACACACTGTCGAGACCTTGTACCGATGTGCAGTTTGATACACAGTACGTGTCAATAAGAGTAACTTTACACCAGTCACCTTGGCTACACCTTCGCTGGTTAGACTCACAACTGGATTTTGTCGTGTGATACGTGCAGAGTGGCGGCGGTGTGTAAATAATCGAGACGTCTGTAAATAAACGAGTATGTCTTCAGCAAACTTTGTTCAAAATGCCAGTATCAAATACTTGAGTCGCACGTAAAATATCATCCCTCGCCCAAACATTGCAAACCGACATTGCCCTGTGTGAGAAGATATGTGATATTCTTTGAATCATCTGGTTATTATGGTGGCTCATTCGGGCCATCGCTTTATCGCCCTGAAGAAATCTAGGCGATATCGCGACAAAGCGATAGTACGACACGATATTGCGATATGGCGACACGATATAGCGATATTGCGATATAGCCAAAGACGAAATAGCGATAACATGACACGACATGACGATAACAAGACACGATATAGCGATAACAAGACACGAAATGGCAACAACTCGACACGACATTGCGATAACACGACACGAAATGGCGATAACACGACACGAAATGGCGATAACACGACACGAAATGGCGATAACACGACACGAAATGGCGATAAAAAGAGGCGACATTGCGATAAAGCGATAACGCGAAAAGGCGATATTGCGATATGGCGACGCGATATTGCGATACAGCGACATTGCGATATGGCGATATGACGATACAGCGATATGGCGATATGTAGAAAAGCGGGTAAGTTGATTCATTCTCAGGATTCAATAATAAGATAGCGGGAAGTATGTGAGATAAAGATGCCTGGCATAGATATATAAAGGGATATGTAGTGAATCATATCAACATAAACGACATTGTTATGCAACCTCTCTGGTTAAATCACCAGTTTTGCAACACATATTTGATAATCAATAACTGGTTCAAACAAGGAATTGTTAATATTAAAGACATTTTCAATGACCAAGAGGTACTCTCATTTGCAGAACTTAAAACAAAATTTGATATTAAGGGCACAGTACTTGACATAAATCGTGTCATCATCGCCATTTCGTGTCGTGTTATCGCCATTTCGTGTCGTGTTATCGCAATGTCGTGTCTTGCTATCGCCATATCGTGTCTTGCTATCGCCATATCGTGTCGTGTTATCGCTATTTCGTTTTTGGGCTGTATCGCAATATCGCTATATCGTGTCGCCATATCGCAATATCGTGTCGTGCTATCGCTTTGTCGCGATATCGCCTAGATTTTTCAGGGCGATAAAGCGATGGCCCGAATGAGCCACCATAGGTTATGCTTTGTATGTTTTGGCCCTTACACAGCATTACAAATAATTTATCAGGTTCTTTTTTTGTTTTGCCTATTGGTATTCTTTCATTCTACATCATATATCGCAAAACAATATTTTGACCTCGAGAAGGTCTTGAAACAAGCCGAGAACAGTGCTTTATACGCAACACAGTTTCAGATCTTCATAAATACCTCGATTACAGCGTTTTCTGAGTATGCAACCATTCTTAAACATTACATTGATTCATAAACAATTCGATTACAATGGTTCATGAACAACTCGATTACTATGCTTCACGAACAAAACCTGAAGTAAGTGACTTATGAACATGTGTAATAACACAGTTGACAGTTGAAAGTCCTCGACTGTGTTTGTTTTCTAAGGGAGGTAACTGATTGAAACAGCCTCATATAATCATGACGGGGTCACAGTGCGGAAGGGTCGTACATGTCGTTAGTGGATGCTGTGTTCGGTTACTGCATCGACACAACGGAGGCAGATGTAGTTTGGGTAGGCACTTATCGTAACGTCTGGATGTAACACTGCTGTCTGTGTGACGGGTTTTAGTGTCTAGATAAACTGTGTTGTGTGATCACGGTATGTGGGGGAAGGAGGGCAGATAACTCCTGGTTAAGGATGCGCTCATAAAATAAGTGTCTGTCGATGATATACGGAATAGATTGTGCAGAGTGAGAATGGACATTTTAAATAGGCCACACAAAGTAAGATGGAATACGATCGTCATGATCAAAAGTTTTGAATTACGAGATAAATTAGTATGTTTGTTACAGTCGTAAGCATGAATTGGGGATTATATTTGTCAAATGCCACTAAAGCATTTCAGAAAGGTCAAGGTTGTAGGTGGTAATTTAGGAACAGTTTATGCAGGGAAATGGAATTCTGTGTCGTAGCATTTCATTAGCTTCTATTTGAGTTGCATGCGAGCATGGTTTGGAAAGAAAATACCTGTGTGTTATAATGATATACTGATGGCTGTATCGGTCACTGTTACCATCAACCCAAGACATTCGATTTTATATTATATATGTATTTGTATATTTCTGGAGTAGTTATATGATTTTGGTCATCGTGACAACATTATTATATTTCTTTCTGAGGGAAACAGACTATGTAGACAAGAAAGCTTAACCCATTCATGGAAACTTCAGGCCTAACGAAAATATTCCTCAACAACAATCGACTGCATGTATAATATAAAGTAAATACCTCTTTGTTATAATGATAAACGGATACTGGTGGCTGTATCGATCACTGTTACAATAAACCCAAGACACTCTATTTTATGTTTCTAATTTTCTACACTTGAGAAAGGTATTGTCAGCTTAACCTGTTCATGGAGCCTTCCATGCACATTAGTATCCACGTTCTTCCTTTCCCTCTTGGTGTGTGTTCAACTGATGCTGTGAAAATCCTGTTTCTTCAGTTACAAGAAAATTCCTAACGACTTCATCACAGCAGTCGGAACGAAGTCCACTGGAAGGAATACGAATTCTAGATCTTACCAGGTAAATGAGCATGAGATGTCTATGCAGAGTCTTTTTCGAACATTTCCTATATAATATATGTTGATGTTCTGTCAGGGCCGTTCTGTTTCGTGTTCTGCAGGGTCATATTGTTCTATGTATTTGTAGGGTCGTACTGTGTATTGCTCTACCAGGGTCATGCTATTCTGTGTTCTGAACTATTCGTTCTCTGTGGTGTCCCGACAGTGTCACATTGTTTGATGTTCAAGCAAGGTCGTACTGTGTGATGTTTGGGATGTTTGGTACTTTTTGATGTTCTAGGTATGCCAAACTGAAATTTGCACGTCATGAGAGGACCGCACACTGATGACAGTATTCTAACATTGCCATAGTGCATGAGTGGTACCGGTTGCTGTCTATCCCCTTCTTACCGGTCATAACCGCTGTGTGTGATGTGCTCATGTTCTCTACCTTGTTTCAGGGTTCTAGCAGGACCGTACTGTTCCATGTTGTTCGCCGACCTAGGAGCAGATGTGATCAAAGTTGAACGACCAGGTGAGTGTTGGCATTCACATATACATCTCCTTATAGGTCTCCAGCCATGGGTGCGGTCGAGTAGCTTAGTGGGTAAAGAGTTCGCTCTTCACGCCGAAAACCCAGGATCGATTCCCCGCATGGGTACAATGTGTGAAGCTCCTTTCCCTTTTCTGGTGTTCCCCACCGTGATATTGCTTGAATATTACCCACTCACTCACTCTCCAGCCATGCTCAATAAAATGCCACAACTTGTTCTTACTTTGATTTGTACGCAAGATTTTCTGTGTTCACTTGGACACCTGACCTCTACGCCGACTTCCATCCCGCTCAACAGCCTTATCCAACACACAAATGCATTATCACCAACTAACACACTCCTCCTATGTGTTCCATCGTGGCCCCTTGAACTAAGTGACATCCCCCTCCTTCCCTCCCAACCCGACATGACCCTTATTGACTACCAATTGTTACAGGTGCAGGTGATGATACGAGGAGCTGGGGACCTCCCTTCAAGGGCACAGAAAGTGCATACTTCCTTTCTGTTAACAGAAACAAAAAGGTTAGAGTCTCTTCTAGCCCCTCTTCTCTGTGTTTCAGAGTATAGCAGTAGACTTGAAGAAACCGAACGGTGCTGAGATTGTCTGTTCTAACGCCTCTTCTCTGTGTTTTCAGAGTATAGCAGTAGATTTGAAGAAACCGAAAGGTGTTAAGATTGTCAAACAGTTAGCCGGTTCCTGTGATGTGCTGATTGAGAATTACCTGCCAGGAAAGCTTGGGGAGATGGGTCTTGGATATGATGACATGAAAGCTCTCGTCCCTCGGCTGGTATACTGCTCAATCTCAGGTAAGACGTTTATAGAACTAGTTTAAACAGGACCTGTGTTTTGCTGACTAGATGAGGTTAGATAAAGAGTCAATTCTATATTGTATGTACACCGAACAAACTGAAATGTGTTGAACATATTAATTATAAAACGAAGACGACACATCTTTGCCACTAAGTTGACCTCATTAGAGCATATTAAATAACCTTTGCGCTTTCAGATATCTCCATCAATGGTTCCACCAGAGAACCAGTGTTGACACAAATGATCATTCTTTGACATCTGTTTGGGATTGGGTCAGGGTAAAGTATTGATTGACAAATTCATTGAGCCAAGGTCAGATTCAGGGTTGGGTAAATTATCATTGTAGATATCCATGGTTCCAGGATTGGGTTTCAATATTGCTAGACGTCTTCATGATTCCAGGATATGGTCAGACAGGACCATACAGGTCCCGAGCTGGCTACGACGCCATCGCTTCAGGTGTAGGAGGTCTGATGAATATCACAGGACCACGTGACGGGGACCCATGCAGGGTGGGCGTGGCAATGACGGACTTGTCAACAGGATTGTACGCATTTGGTGCCACCATGGTTGCACTACATCACCGTCAGCAGACTGGGTGTGGTCAACACATCGACTGTAACCTCCTCTCCACTCAGGCATACCGTTTACATTCATTTCCGCATCAGAAAATACCCGTCCTCGTATCCATGCAGAATTAACAATGACAATATGACAATCAAAAGACAATCTAATTTTTCTTCGTGAAAATCATGTCTCGTCGTAATTAGGATAGACAGTTCCTGCCAGATTGATACACATCATTACCTAACTAACATTTGAATAATTTGAACCAAATGTCCAGGGACTGTTAATGGTGTTTTCATTTCTCATAATGCGTTGTGTATTTTAAAATATGCACAATCAGTGGCAGAAGAAAGTTGTACCCGTTTTTCATAGGTTAAGAACAGTAACCTTCTCCATAAAAGTCCATACCATTAAATACAATCAAGTTACTGTGGCTATTCAGAAGGATCACATTGAGTCTTCATGCTTGTTTTATTGTAAGTGTTCTTTGTCAGCTACAACATGTCCCTGCACTTACACGTAGGTGGCCTCACTTGTGAACATTGCCTCAAACTATCTGAATGCTGGGATGGAGGGGAAACGGCATGGAACAGGACATGAGAGCATTGTACCGTACCAGGTGAGTGCTACCTCATACATTAGTTTTGTGGAGCGACTAACACACTCCAATCAATCAATGCAATTGCAGATGAGGGCAATGTTTAAAAGAGGATTGGTTTGGCTGTTCCATAATGATTGAAATGTATGCTCTTGTACGTTCTTCTGATGGTTCAGTGACTGGTTGAACTGATCTTTTGAACATTGACAAGTTGGTTGTACTGGCGTTTTAGGATTGGTTGTATTGGTATTTCAGGGATAGTTGTTCTGATGTGTCAGTGTCTGGTTGTACTGGCGTTTCAGTGTCTAGTTGTATTGGTGTGTCAGGACTGTTTGTTCAGATGTTTCAGGGACTCGTTTTCAGGATGTTTCAGTGTCAAGTTGATGTTTCAGTTACTTGTTGAGCTGATGTTTCTGTCAACGTCTTTGATGATGCAATTACAGGCTTTCAAGACCAAAGACGGGGGATATATGCTGGTGGGAGCAGGAAACGACAAACAGTTTCGGCTTCTGTGTAAGGTGAGCTGTGGTCAGATGGTTTGGGTCATCTCAAATGATACAATTCGTAAACTCTTAGCACCTTGGTCAAAGCAACGGCAATACCTTTAGATATATTACTATTGTCAGCCCAAAGAGTCAGCCCAACGACCGGCAAATCATGAGGCTGTGCGCATTAGATGACTCTTGTAACCAAGAGTGTCTGCTGGGCCTTGCTAAGAACACAGACCGTTGTTGTACATTGTCGTGCTCATGTTTATCAGAAATCCGGTTTCATAGTTTGTTACCTGGTCAGCTACTAGGGACATAATGAGTGTGGATGATGTAGAGGACATAAATCAGTGAATTTGGGTGACTTTATTTTGAGGCAAGTGACTTAAAAAAAGCTTCAACGGGTGACATATCAGATATCTCTTGCAGAGGATGGACCTACCAGAGCTGTTGGAAGATGAAAGGTTCCAACAAAACCAAGTGAGAGTAGCAAACAGAGACATATTGCTGCCCTTGCTAGCAAACAGGTAAATGTGTGGAGTCCAGAGGTGAGGTGAGGTGAGATGAAATTGGGTTTTACTACGTGCGTGAGAATATTTCGCTCATATGACGACGTGCATGCGTGTGTATGTGTATGTGCGGCTTCTTGTACTAGCCCAGACTTAAGCTGGTTTTATAGTGCTAGCCCACTGAGATACCCAGAAAGGTGGCGTGGTAGGCTAGGAATGCATGGGTTAAAGGCCAACACATTGACAGAGTGCTTTTACCTGTCTACTTTCTTCATTGTAGGTACTTCGCTGTCACTTCATTCATTATCTTTACGGGAAACTAAACTAAACTAATTACTTACTAAACCATGAGTTTGCTCCGAGTTTCCTTTTTCAAACAGCCTGAACTAAAAGATTAACTAATTCGTCAGGCACACTATTCTCTGATCCTGAACAGCACAGGCGTGTGGTGTCCACCACAAGCCGAGAATGGGGTGTATTAACCAGAGAACAAGTTGTATGGAGATGATTCCAGGGAATCGGGGAAAATGGACGTATGGTAGTTAATTCACAATAATTACCTGTCTCGAGTTGTCTCCCTTAGTGATGCAAGGTTCCACTGACATGAACTATACGGTGTTAACGTTTCTGGTGTATTGTTACCTAGGTTTGAGACAAAGACCTCCTCACAGTGGATGCAGGTGCTCGAGGGGTCGGGAATACCATACGGTCCTGTCAACAACATGCAGGAAGTCTTCTCCGATCCTCAGGTAAAAGCATAAACATGTCATCACACATCTGTTTACGGGGATGTTGTCATAAGTTCTGAGCCTCGCCGAAGGTGAGAAAAATAGTGAAATCTTGTCAGAAGGACATTTGAACAAAGCGTTTCGTTCTAAACAAATACAGGAGACATTGATGTATTTTGAAGTAATTACGGGATCACATAAGGACTAAGAAGCATGGAACGATGAAAAAAGGTGTTCTCGTCCATCTGACATATGCACCACTATACAAATCGTTGCATATGATACACTTGTATTTCTTTGAACGCCTTCAGCACCCACCTCAATCTCCGTCAAACGATCTAGTCCCAAACATGGAAAAACTCTAGTCCAAACAAAAGTCGATGAGAACGATGACGTCCTAGGAACTGTGGAGAACGATTGAAGTACTTTCATGGAAGTGGAAATATCCCCAACAGCATATGAATGTGGAAATAGACAATGTCGAAAAATAAATTAGTTTCATACTTTCTTATATGCTCGGAGCACCAGAACTGATCAATCGTAGATGTATAATTGCCATTACTCTGTACAATAATATTTTTTCTTCTGAAATGTTTAGCAGTTTGGATGGGATGGCATTACAAATGAGGGTCAGTGTCATGGTTTGCTGCTATATATATAACACTACTCTCTGTGCAGGTGGTCAACAATGGGATGATCCAGGAGGTGCAGCACCCCACAGCAGGAACAATCAGACTTCCGGGTAAGCCTGTCCTTACTGGATGAGTGCACTAGTTCCCCTGCTTACCTAATCCGGGTATAGTACCACATTCATAGGTTCATATAATCAAATATGTCATTGTGTGCTATTTTATCTCGTGGACTAACTGAGATATTCGCTCAGACACTAAAACGCTCATCTCCAAACAAATGGTGGTATTACTACGGTTACAAGGTATATGCATAATGGAGACACCAAATACTCTCTTTCGCACTGACAGGACCAGCCGTGAGATACAGTTTGTCCCAGACTGTGGTGCCCCGTCCCCTTCCAACCCTCGGACAACACACACAGGAAGTGCTGCAGGGGATTCTGGGATATTCCGACATGCAGCTAAAGCAGTTGATAGAAGCTGGTGTTGTACAATAGTCACAGCTATTACTTAACCATCGAGGACATGTACATTTCGTGTCGAGATGTTAAACTGAGGGAATATGACTTTGTTATTTATTCAGATTACAGAGTGGATGATTATTGTGTTTTCCTTCCAAATCATTTTTATATATTTTGAATCAACAATCCAAATATCTCAGGACAGCATTTGTCTCTCTGATTTTTTGTTAGTTCATTGTTTAAAAAAAATGACATATGGTCCAGCTAGAATCAGCTATGAAATGCTTTCCGTATATTCTGCTTTTTAACACTGTAACGTTAACGACAGTGATGCAACTGTGCTAACATTACAACGAGCAATCTGGTAATGGAAATGGTGATGGAAATACTGTTGCAACTGAAAATGAGTTGGAGGGTGGGTGGAATAGTTGAATGCAATTTCAGACAATATTTCTGATTGTTATCACAGGGAAATCAAAAGTAGCATTACAATGCTGAAACCAAAGATACTGTCTCAAAGGATGTAAATTCACTCCGTCCGAAGTTTAATGCTATTCTGATGGCAGCTGTCTGGTCATTTTGTGCCATTAATTGTAAACGGGATGAGAGGTGTAATTTGTGCGTGGACCTTGGATTATGTAGTTTTACGGTATTGTGGTCGCCAGTTTGATTTTGAATGTACTTCTTACGTGACTGAGCCTGAACTGTTTACGAGAAGACTACATATACTAGATGATGTATCACACATGCCGTTTTGATCATCATGAGTGCAATATTTTTAATTTCGAATATGAATTCGTGAAATACCTTTATTGGTCACAAGATCGGTGCGTGTGTATTGGTGTGTGCGTCCGTAAAACAACAAAAATACGGCACAAGATGAATTTCCCTTGGCATTCAGGGATCGAAAGATAACAGTTACCGTAACAAACTGTACTGACGCGTAAATATATAATGACGTCACAATGTAATGTCACAAACACTGTGACGCGGCGCTGTTTTGACATCACATTGGTGGCTTGCAATGTGAATACAATGTTTAAATGGATAGAGGATATTTCATGTGACAAGTGAAATGTGATTTGTCTTACACACCTGTGGTTGAGAACCCCAAGCCTGTGACTGGCTACTCCACAGTGATGACCTAGGGTCAGATTATGATGGACTGATTTCCTGATTCATTGACGTGTTACTCAGGTTCTAGTTCTTCAATCGAACGCAAACCTTTTACTGGTGCCAAACATCTCTATATACTGATCTGCTATTTTCGCTATTGTAACGTAAACAGGTATATATGCAATAAAAGACACGTCAAGTAAATATAACACGAATCTTGTTTTCTTTCTAAATCCCTTTATCGTTTGCAACTTTCTAGTCATGAATTCAAAATGGCTTGAGCAATCAACGATATCTCTTAAAACCATTATCCGAATTATGTATAAGAGATAAAAGCCGTGGTTCCTTTTGAAAATACAAAACGTACAAAACTGGTAGTGTTACTGCAGAGATGCGACAAGTGTCATGTATCGTCTTGCAAACATATCTGACACGATATTGTCAGTGCCTGTCCATTGTGAGATCGATCATCTCGCGATGATCCATTGATGAACAGATGAAGAGGTCATTTCTAACTGATAAACATGATGATACTTTCGTTAAACACCTACTTCCAGCTCGGAGCTACTATGTGATTATTCCTATGTTAAGAATTCACTCATGACAACCACAACCAAAACACACTCGGTGAAGTAATGAACAACACGAAACGTTTGCAATAGTTCAAGAGTGTCAACTACGGCACACGTTCTTTTTGAGTCGATATCACAAGTACAGGCACGGTTGATCTAGATACAAGGCACCGCATGAAATAGTCCTCCGAAGCATAATAATGCAAATTTCTTGTCACTTTTCATCCTCGCAACACGCTAACATCAACATTCCAAGTGGCAGTTTCTGGCTCCAAGTAAAACATCAAATTTCACAAGAAACATTAAACAGGCTATTTATTATATGCTTTCAAGTTTGTTTGATTAAATCTAAGCATTATTATCCCGAGAAACTTCGATTGACGAAATTCAAATTCTCCCAACTGTAAACTAAAGACTGTTCACTTTACTGTTCAGGCACATATATAAGACATAACTTCTTTGAGTGACATTTTTAGAAGTTGGAGAGTCAGATAAGAACAAACGTTCTGGATGAAGAACTTCTTTATTGAGGTGATGCGACGTCTCAGTACAGAGATAAGGACACGCTTTATTGATGGACCACTTCTTTTTTTTCTTAGCATAAGGACATATGTACATATATAAAGCGGGGTGTTACACTACTTCTATGTGAATCCAAATACATTTTTTATATATCCACCTCACATACATATGAAAATATTATCCACGGATGTGAAAGTAACATCCTCCGAAATGTACAACATTTGCTTTACATACTATAATGAGAAATTAGAGCAAACATAGGATAAGTACTGGAAGTGAAAATGTGGAAATAGGAAGAGAAAGACAGGAGAGAGAGAGAGAGAGAGAGGAAGAAGACGGCCGGGGAAGGAGGGGCCGGGGAAGGGGGGCGGGGTTTCAATTTGTTCGGCTGTAAGTATCGGTATCAATGTTGACCATTTGTTTTTTAATGTGGTACTGGCAGGGCCGTAAATATATTTTTCAAATTTATAAATTTGCTTGATATTTTTAATCAAGCCTGGGGAATGCAAATTTGTGTCTGTATTTTTGAGAATGTTATACAAATGGTTTAACAGAATGCTTTGATTGGGGTCTACAAGTAAGATAATTGATTTTGATATTATTAATTTCGTCTTGGTTGTTTCTTCAAACCATATTCGAAACTGTCAGATTTTGATTTTTCCTGCAATCATAGAAAAGATGTTCAAGTGTTTCTGGTTCCTCAGTGCAAAAACACCAAAAACAGTGACTTCTGTCAGATATCCCTATATTAGGACGAGGGGCGGTGGGGTAGCCTAGTGGTTAAAGCGTTGGCTCATCACGCCGAAGGCCCGGGTTCGATACCCCACATGGGCACAATGTGTTAAGCCCATTTCTGGTGTCCCCCGCCGTGATATTGCTGGAATATTGCTAAAAGCGGCGTAAAACTAAACTCAGTCAGTCAGTACATTGGGACGAAAAGTTTGTGTTGAAGAATGTTGTACTGAAAGCTTCTTGTCTTATTATCAATGCAACAGTTGTCGATAAAAGATAACGACAAACAAACATGGCGGACCGAGAGAAAGGGAATAACGCGATCGTGAAAAAACCCATATATTTACTGTGTCAATAAGCATCAATATAGGCAATGACCGCTGTCAACTGAGCGAAATTACGTCACTTGCACATGAAATGGACATGAAATGTCAGTTTTTGAATGTAGACAGCACGTAACTTAAATGTTTTGGACGGGGTAAACTTGCACGAAGCGAGGCGTGAAGTCGACGCAACACAGCGAGGAACAGTCAGTCACAGTCCCACTCGCTCAGTGCGGATCGCTGAATGACTCGGTGATCAGCTGATCGGTCCCACTTTTCTTCACTGGACGCAAGTCATCCAATGCCCAGACTTGCTAACCAGATGTATATGTTTACATTGCCAGCTATTGTGTATTGTAACAAGATGCTGGACAGAAGATTTTGCTGAGCCACGAAGTAGTACTGTTCCGCCAAAGTGATATTTCACTGCAGTGAAAATATCGAATTTCTGTCACTGCGGTGAAATATAACTAACAAATCTCACTCTTTAACATATATAAATATTTACATTTTCAAAGATGGACACTTTTTAATGAAATAATTTCCTTACGCTGTATTGCATAGGCTGTATTTATGTCAAAAAAAGAAATATCTTGAATTATATTGCACTAATCTAGAAACATGTCGAGAGCGGATTCTAGCTGAAATGGGACAATCGAGATACCGCTGTGTGTGAGGGGTAGCCACGTCCCCGGGTCAGGTACGTTCTAAAGACGGCGTGTAAAGGCGTCCTAGATACGAGCCTGCCTGGAGTTGAGAGTGTCTCGCCGCTGAATACATTAGCGGCAAACTGTAAGTCGATGTACATTGTTGGCAGTATGTCTTGTAAGGTATACACACCTACATGGTATTCGTGATACATTTACTATGTAGGTACACACACCCCAGGCATGTGCTGATGTTAGGACTGGCTTGTATACCACAGAATGTGGGTCCTAGTCATCTGTGTGTCGTTGTTTAGGCGAAGTCAATGGTGACATACATTTCATATCGCCAGTAAGAGATAGTATCTGTAGGTCATTATGGGTCAGGGTAAGGCCACAAAAAAAATATCCTTGTTTCTCATCAATTTCTAAAACAAATATTTGTCGGGAGGATTTTCTTTTTACATTTTAGTTTATTTGATGTCCCAAACCCCTTGGCTTCTCTTGAAATTTACACCTTTACTCTGATAGAAAATAAAAACTTAGAAGTGTAAAACATTCATGCACATTTTGAGAGTCAAAGTTATTTTTTCTTGTTTAAAAAATCAAAAAAATCTTAGGGTCGGGTCGAATTTTGGATCGGGCGGTAATGAGAAACAAGAACAATGTTATATATGGCCTTACCTCACAAGTCATTATCAGCTCTATTAGTGCGTCAGTCTATAGTCCACTCAGGCAAATCTAAGCCAACCTGATCCTCTTACTGGAGAGGCTTGACAATGGCTTCATCCGTAATCACTTGCCTCAGTGTCTAACCGTCCATTTTCCAACTTGAATTACATCAGGCTGATCCCGCAATTATTTGATTTGTGTGCACTGTGATAAACGGATTTAACTAACAAAGGAAATACCTGTTTTACCTCTTGTTCCCAAGTGAGACATGTGCCACGTTATAAAGAATTCAATAGGCTAGATACAGGGATATGTAAACACATAGTCTGCAATATTAATGCAAACCCTGAAACAAATAGACCCAAGTACGTCCATGCAAATCTAGAAACTGTGGCCAGTCTGGATGTGGACTCCTTTTCATTATAGTTTGTGATTATTATTTAGGAACCGTTTGTCTGTAAATTATGTTCATTTCAGAGGGCAGATGTTAGGCAAGTTCTTCCCATATGCATGTTTTGATCATGTGGCAAACGAATTACGGGCCCATTTTTGTAATGCAAGAGTATATCGGAACGATCAAATGTGTCACTTGCACCCAACGCCAGTCGTACATGTACAGCCAGTATTGATCCTGCTCATCATGTGTAGTATCGATTATCATCCTCCTTAGCATTAATACTACCCATGTGATCCTATCAGTAGTAAGGCTAACATGTGGTTTTGTGAAAATAAGTCAGGAATCATTGTGATGGCAGGTTTGAGGGATTGTGTCAGTTCATTAGTTGTGATCAGACTTCTGCATGTTGCAGCAGTGAGTGCATTTAGTCCGCCCTTTCCCTACTACTCCGCGCTACATGTATGTCTAGCATGTTAGAATGACTGAGGGAAGTCTGCTTATTTAGGTTTTAAGATATTTCCGAAAAGGGTTTTGCATAGTGCACGCACGCACACACTCATCAGGACTCACTTTCAAACACACTCAATCATTCAACCACCGACTTGGTTACACACTCACGTGACCTCGCACACTCACGCTATCACATACTTAGTTATTCAGTCACCCCTGAATACACACATCGCTGTACATTCAGTTAGCGGATCACACACTCACTCATGCACACTCAACCAAACACTCATTTACTCGATCACCAGTCATTAACAATCTCTCACTAACTCACACTCTAATGCCATCAAACACTCCATCTCTCACCCAAGTCAATTTCAACTGCAGCCTCACAAGAATAGGTGTTTCTATTGCTTGGCATTTAAAGGCTGGTGGTACAAATGGTCCTTCTCAAGTTAAATTCGTCTTTAACGTGTCAGTCTTTCCTTCTGTTTGTAACTTGTCCTCCCAAATCTGGAAAGCCTCGCTTTGACGACGTTCATATATGTAATTATTGTGAACACAGAGACTGTGCAGTATGAAACATACAACAGATGTTGGTTTCTCTCTCATCACACCAGGTATTCAAGATGGTGTGGCTGTACGTTGTAGCTGCGGTGGTGGTTTTTCTTCTCCTGAAGGAGCTGATGAGACTTCCAACTGTCGGCAAATATGGGGAGCGTTACGTCTTCATCACCGGCTGCGACACCGGCTTTGGGAACCTACTGGCCAAACGACTGGACTCCCTCGGCTTCAACGTGTTTGCAGCGTGTTTCTCTGAAAGAGGAGCAGATGAACTGAGGAAAGTGTCGTCTGCCCGACTGAAGACGTTGTCGTTGGATGTGACTAAACCCGACAGTATTGTGAAGGCGCGTGCAACAGTAGAAAAACAACTTCCGTCAAATAAAGGTAATTATTTACGATTATTCCACTCTAAGCTATAACCGTACTGGAAAACTTCACGCATGCAGAATCACAGTTGATCCTCCTCTACAACTTCTACCTATACTACAGCAACCACGTTTACTGCTACAACTGCTACTGCCAATACTACCACAACCACTACTTCTACTACAACAATTACACCTGCTACTACTACTACTACTACTACTACTTCTACTATTACTACTACTACTACTAATGCTGTTGCTGCTGCTACTACTACTACTACTACTGCTGTTGCTGCTACTACTGCTGCTACTACTACTACTACTACTGCTGCTTGCTGCTGCTACTACTACTACTACTACTACTGCTGTTGCTGCTACTACTGCTGCTGCTACTACTACTACTACTTCTACTACTACTACTACTACTACTGCTGCTGCTTGCTGCTGCTGCTGCTGCTACTACTACTACTACTACTACTACTGCTGCTGTTGCTGCTACTACTGCTACTACTACTACTACTACTACTACGTACTACTACTACTTCAATCTACCTCAGAGAATGAATCTGAAACACCTTGTAGAATATATTAATAATGCCAGACTGACAGATATGTCCGTCAAAGGCATGCTGGGGATATCCCCAGTCACCAATTATTTATGACATCCTCAAATGAAAAGCAATGATGATTGAGAATAGAAGCTGAGTGACCCCAAAACATTGACATGAAAAACGTTATGTGCATGTATTACATAAATGGCTTTTTAAGTGGAATCTTTGGAGTTGTCCGACTAGTGACTAGTGACAATTTCACTGTTTAGCATATATGTCCCTGGGCCCCGTTTCACAAAACTCTCGTAAGCCAAAGGTCTCAATGCTACTTTTCTCGTAGCATTCGTACCTCCTATACTGTAAAATTGACTTACGATAGTCGTAGCGCTACTAGAGCTTTGTGTGTTCTGGTTTGTCTTCCTACAGGGCTGTGGGCAGTCGTCAACAATGCTGGTATAACCGGGGCACTTGGCCTGTCGGAATGGATGACAAGGCAAGATTATGAACGGTGTAACTCGATCAATCTATACGGCGTGATTGACGTTACAAGAATATTTCTGCCACTTGTACGCAAAGGTCAAGGACGCATAGTCAATGTCTCTAGCGTGATCGGAAGGATTGCAGCAGCGTTTGCACCGTATGTTGTCTCCAAATATGGCGTCGAAGGATTTACAGATTGTCTCAGGTTTGAATGTTCACATCTAACGCAAAATATTAGTTCTTTTCAGTGAAAGATCCCTTTGTCTAGTTAACTAGCTTAGTGTTGTCAGTATTGTAGAAGACTCGGGTTCCAATCCCAACATAGGAACGCAGTGTGAAGCCACGTATTGCCCGTACTGTGTGGTATGGCTGGAATACAGCAACAGGTGGCGTAAAATCTCATTCCCTCAGTCATCCTTTTGTCAAGGCTATTCAGTGGATATGTTGTGTTATACATGTACCTGATTTGTAGTTGTTTGAGTAGTAGCGGAGTGTTTTGTATTTCCAGACGAGAGGTTTTAAAGCAGGGTGTGACCGTCCATTTACTGGAGCCTGGCTACTTCAGAACAAACATGTTAAACACCGATGCTATGAAGACATCCTTTGAGAACAGTTTTAAGCAGACGGATCCGGATGTCCAACGATATTACGGAAAAGAATTCGTTCGGAAAGGTAACAAATATATATTCCCATCTGCGTGCATCCCCAACACACTTTGTTGCTCAGCTTGATATGTGTTTATTTATGTCGTATGTCCGTCCGTGGGTCAACACATCTTTGGCGGCTTAGCCGGAAGACGTTAGTCACTCGTGGCTACTCAGGTGAACACAGAGACTTTGTGAAGGTGTAAAGCAGTCACCTTGGTGCCCATATTTCATAACTCTCCCCCGCAGATTGGTCGTGGTGATGTTCATACTCTTGATCCACGAAGCCCATCCCATGCGGTTGAGATTGAAAAACATAACACTCCGCCCGTTGTCTTCCATTTCTATTTCTATGTCTTTGGAGAGCACAATTTGAAGTCGAACATAACTTAATATATCCATGATACATCCGCACATGACTGCTTTCGCCGTTTTGCTTTCTTTATGAAAGTATCCGTTTTATTATTTTGTAATTGGTGATTTTAGGAAATTTACATTTCTGAGAGTGGGAAAAGAGGAATGATGGGAGCGTTAGATCGGAATCTGTGTTAGAAGGATGTTCCGCACCAAATCAAGTCATTCCGTCGTGGGGCAATCGGAAGTTTAGCAGCTGGTGGGCTTTTACACCTCATGACTGACATGTTTAATAATAAATAACATAGGAAACAGATTTAGATTCTCTAATCTCTAATTTCTAGTGCTTCCGGTTTTTGACAAAGTCGCATGTGACGTAGCGTCCCCCAAGACGCACCTGGTTGTGGACGCCTACACACACGCCATCACCGCCATATTCCCCCGCACTCGCTACCTGGTGGGAAACGACTGCAAATACTACTTTAGATTGCTGTGGAATCTGCCTGAGTGGATCTCTGACCGGATACTCTCTGCTAACTATGAAGTGCCAGAAGGAGCTCTCTCTCGACGTTAAGATTAAGACAGGTTGGCCAAAAGAAATGTGACGGACAACGCAAATGATCTTGTCTGTCGTCCGGTCAAGTACTGGACTTCCGGACAAAATGAAAAATGAAATTAAAATGAAATTTACCCGAAAGATTACAAACGTTATGAAAATGTTCCTCGGATGAAATCAGTGGCCGAACACTGCAGATTTATTGTCGAAAACGTAAACATGATAACCCATCTATCGTCATTGAACAATGACCAGATTTTGTTTGTTTCAGCTACCATCCAACAATGGTGTATCCCTTCTTACGTCCATCAGTCTATTTAAACTCAGCAACCGGCGCACCATCTCTGGTGGTGCTGGAGACCTATATTGGATTGCGACATCTGTTGGGATCAAATCTTGGGTGTGTTGTACAACAACCTGACCAGTGTTGGATTGTTCTTGAGTTCATGGTAAAGAAGAGAATCTGATCTAATGTCCTCATCAGATGTTACTTCCTTGAGTAAATATATTTATCTGTATTGACATCAAGAAATATCAGACGCACATTTGTTCAGCTCCGACTAGGTCTTTTAGATTTAAGTATTATTGAAGATAGAAGATTGTCTGTAGAAAGAAATATGAGAATTTGTCCATTATGCACTTCATCTATTGAAGATGAAATTCATTTTATATTTGTATGTCCATATTATGATGATCTTAGAAGAAAATATATTTCAAGTAATTATCTATCAAAATATCCAACAATAGCCTTTGTCTCGATTCTCACTTCCAGAAATGAAACTGTTACCCGTAACCTTTCACTGTTTGTAAAGCATGCTGTTGTCTTGAGAAATGATAGGTTATCCAAGTAATTTCATTGTATTATGTATTATAGTTATGTATATGTATGTAACTCCTTGCATATGGGCCGGAAGACTTGTATACAATAAACTTGACTTGACTTGAGTACAGCAAAATTGTTTTAGCGATTTGGGCTCCTTAACAAACATGTCACAGACGCTATCTGTACAAATATGTTTAATTGTTTTCAATGTGGAACATGAATTTCGTGAGGTCATTTTAAAAGCATTCATTTCTGAACATTTATAAAGGTTATATAAGAACTGACTGATGTTTTGTGTTTAAGGATGAACAAAACCACCAATGTGCACATTCTGCAAATCAGTAAAGTAGTCTGTTGAGAAGTCTTCGAAGTCGATAATGCCACAGAGCCTACATAGCTGCTCCACTGGTGGGATTAGCCAATATTTGTTTGATGTATTTTTATGGAAGCATAGCCAATCAGTTGGGGTACTCTAAGGGCAAATACTCAAGCATTCTACCCATGAAAGGTATAGTTTGTTTCAAGGATGTCTGCAAAAATCCTAAATATGGATAATTTTGGTTACCCTTTATTTACGTTTGCGATTGCAAACTGTTTATTTGTAACATGTAAACTAATCATGAAGTCAGGCAAATCGAACTTACAAACCAGTTATCGTGTTACAATACAATGAATAGTACATATCTGTGTCGAGCCTCAGTTGAGTCATATATGACTAGCGCGTTCGGTTTTTAAATCACATTTAGCGTTCTTAAATCAGCGATAAAGGACCGCAAAACTGAAAACAGAATAGCTTTATCGTCTTAATATTCACCCACTCGAAAATAATCACTAAAATAAACTCAGGATAACCTGGCAGTAAGGCTTGATTTTAAGTTAAGTAACCTCTCACTCATACAAACACTCGTACTCCCATACGCACACGCACACGCGCAGACACACGGATATACGCACACAACCACCAAACCTCACCTATTGTTTGGTTTGACAAGACCGAATCTCTGACAACACTGGCCCTAGTCTGTGGCAGATCACGTTCATTCAACAATGAATTATTCTGTAACAGTGTTTGTGTTACTTCAAAACCTTAAAATCTCAATAACCCCACGAACATGGAGAATCTGTTGGTGCACCGGTGTTAACCCTGTTGATGGGGAGGTTTGCCCCCTGATAGATTCACTGTTGTCGACAGCTTGTGAACAGATGCGCATGGAAGTTAATTAACAACTAAACAAAATGCAACATAGTAACATATACTCATCTATAGCTGTGTATGAATTTGCTTTTTATCAGCAAATACAATATGTAAAAGTAGGTTGTTATCCATTTCGCCCAGAGCTTCGTACAGACTTCTACCATCATGTTATGCCAAAAAGATTATATTTATGAACTGAACTGAACGATATGAACATTACAAGATGTTATATCAGCTTGATATCCTCTTATTTATTTGATAACTTGGATGATATCTTAAATCTAAATGGAATGGATACATGCAGCCAAAAATGCGATGGTTGAAATTATATAAAATGAAATATGTATATAATTACTCTAAATGCAACTGAGTATCAATGCCAGTACCATTTGGTCGATATTTGATGAAAAAAACTGTTGACTGCAAAAAGTAAAGAAAAAAAACACATTTCAAATACAAAATTAGCTAACATCTCGATGTCTGCTTAACACGAAAAGTCCAACAGTCAATTCCCTTTATACATATATTGATTAATACATAATTATGCTTAAAGACAGGATGTTTAGCTGGGAGTGAAATCATTATGGTAAAATCGGTAAATCATTAAGTTAAACTTAAGAATTTCAGCCTAATTCCCCTCTTGTCATAATATTGGATTTGATTTTCCTAAATTTAACAATAACTTACAAAATGTACGTCAACACTATTAGGCAATGAGTGAATCCCCACGTTACTGACTCGTGTTATATCTGGTAACATTTTGACACAAGCATGTAATAACACTTTAACAGGTAAATTATCCACGGTTTACTCTACGACGTTAACCTAAAGTACAGTTTTCCATGCTCGGTTACACACGGGGGAAGTAGATCTTAAAAGATGTACAAAAAAAACGTATAGGCGGGTACAGTATCAATGGTATTCTATGTAAGAATAAATGTCTCAGAGTTATACCCGCTTTACGAAAAGCGGTTTGATCAAGTCGTTTCTGCAGAATACACCAACAAAGAGCACAGTAGTTCTTCTTTTCATGTATACTTTCATTATGATTCTCTGAAAACATACACTGTTGTTTGGAAACTACTTCGAAATGTTCATGACGTAATTGTTGTGGTCCGTCCTCTTTTTTAATCCATTACATAAAATATGTTATTTTAATTTGTATTAACACAATGAAATGAAAGGTGGCCGGATATGAAGTGATGTGGTCGGGGACCGAGAGACGATGAACCATAGCTGGGTACTGGTGGGTGCCGTTATCTTTTTCATCTCTTTTCGGGGATGACAGGGAGATGTCGAACAATGGTCGGATCGGTCACAGTTGGGTGATACAGAGGTGGACTCCGTATTCATCTCTCCTCTTTGCGGATATGTGAGGGAGATTATCATCAGGGACATAATGTAGCGTTGTTGGGGGCTTGTGTACCGTGATCGGGGACAGGGAAAAGATGGACATGGTGATAATGTACCGTCTTCGGGGTCACTGAGCCGATGACCCATGGTCGGAGACTGTACCATGGTTGGAGACAGGGAGATGATGTAACTAAGCTTCCGTTGGCACTGTTGCTTAACATTGTAATTAAGCGGAATAATGCTAAGTGTAACAGGGTTATGTGTTGTTGAAAACTTAAGAAGCACCACAACTAGTGGGGTGACAAAAGATGAACTCCACCGACTGTCACTGGTCTCAATTACGTAATTGTCTAACATGTATTTCACTTATTTTCGCAGAATTTCACTTTCACAGGATTCATCCGATACGGATGTTTTTACAGGCACAGCCTCACCTACATCTCTATCGTGGCTATCAACATCAGTTCGGCCAGGCGCATCAGGAAATAAGTGAGAGAACTCATGAATTAAAACTGATATTTGAGCTTTCTGCTCAGGGGATAAATGTGATAATTTCTCATCAAGGTAAGCTAACACGTAAGAATATCTTAACTTATCTTATATCTTAACATAATATCTGAAACATTATCAGTAAGGTGATCAAACTTCACATTGCTAACACCATCATCAATATTGTCAACGTGTTCAGCATTGCCTACAGTACAATCAGTAACTGGGGAGTGTGTGGCATAAAATTACCGATCAACAAATCTGATAATTGGCCTGTTTGGTTTCTACCTTGTCATGATATTTCTTAATCATGTTTACATAACACAACCTCTTTTGCTTACGACGGCAAGTCAGGACGACATAGTCTGAGCCTTTTTGTCAACAAGATATGGACCCTGATATTTAGCTCTCAGTGGTTGACTAGGAATGGGAAGTAAGACTGACACTTTTCACTAGTAATAAATTTCTTTCGTTTAACTTCCAGTCATATTTTGTTTTATTTTTTTGCTAGTGAAGCTTTCAAATTCTGTATGGCCAACTCACATGCTTTTGAAAGTGTTCCGAAATGTAGAAACATAGTGCAAAATATTGATCTCAGGATTGTGATCGAGCCATTGCTCTTTTAGATGTTTTAGTGGCCCGCGCACACTATGACTCAAAGGGACTAAACCCTAAACTTTCCTGAACTGACTCCCTGGCATGTACAGCAAACAGCTGTCATCCAAATCTCTCTATGTCTCAAAATAATGTCTTGATTATATTCTTCAAAATTTGATGAAACCTCTCTAAAGCTCCCTGTGACTCCAGATGATAAGCACAAGACTTAACCTGCTCAATACCCACCTGGTACATAACTTGTTGAAACACCTTAGACATAAAATTAGAGCCCAGATCAGACTGAACAACATCTGGCAAACCAACTGAGGTGAAAAACTTGTTTAAAAGCTTGACAATCACAGGAGCGACAATCCTACAAAGAGGAATGGCATTAGGAAATCTGGCAGAAGCACATATGATAGTTACCAGGTTACCAGACTTAGGTAGTGGACCAACACAATCAATGACTTACTCTCACAAAGAAAGTTCTCCTCAGAACCACCTGGAAAGAAGGCTTAGGTGCGATAGTCACAAAAGCATTTGGGGAACCTGCAGACTGATATTTAAACTAGAGTACGTCTGGCGTGCCTTGCAATGTTGAAAGAGGGAGCGTTTGAGGGAGAAGAAGAGTTTTTGAGCTTTTTCAGCTCAATTTCTTTCAAAAATTCCAATTTTCTGAATTCTATTTCTTTCTCCATTTCTAACTCTTTGTTCTTTCTCTTTTTCTATATCCAGTCTTTTTAGTTCTTCTTGTTTTCTATTTTCTTCTCATTGAAAAATGTAACTGAACTTAATTTTTTTTTTCATTTCCAAATGGTGGGAATATTCGTTTTAACCATTTCAAAAACTCCATGTTCAAAACCTCCCACATCAATATAGTGATTTAACACAAATTTCAAAATCTGAAATTTCCTCATAGCAGCTGCAGGTTTGGCCTCAAGTTCGAAATGTGCAGAAATTTGCAATAAATCTGATTTGTGCAAGTCAACGACTGTCTCAGGGTTAGGGGACTTAATAAAATTTTAAACACCATTTTGATGGTTTCACAATTAATTTGTTTGCAAAAGTTGAAATACATTTCTCACAAAACGTCTCAAATATTGGGTCATATTGGCTCACAAATCTAAAATATTAACTAAATGTCTATAGTGTTGATCCTTGATTTACTGATTGAAGTTTGTTGACAGCTGTTAAAAGTTGAATGTAGATGAGGCCTCTTGAGTGGCAGGTCTTGAAACATCAATGCTGGCAGACAGATGAGCGTAAATCCAAAGTCGTTCCTCCATACACCTCAACAACCATACCTTAAATACCTATTGTACATTTCTGGATTTTTCTCGTAAAACCCATGCCACACTACAATCATCTCATAGCTTACAGGATCCTACCAAAACCTGAGGCAAAACAAACACAGCGGAGGTAACTCCTCAGCCTACTCTTAACGGGTGAAAATACATAGTCTAAATTCAAGATGTGAGTTCAAATCCACACTCAGCGCTTTAAAATTTTGTGTCACATAACAACCACAAGTTAATCAATGTGACATTTTATTTAACACAAACACATCCTCATAACGCATTGTTATGTTCTCTGATCCATTTGATGACATGAAAATTGTTATTACTGTTCCAGTTCATTTTGAAGTGTGAAATCAGTTTCGTTCTTCAGATACCACAAGTGTTCCAACCAACATAGTCATTATGTTTACAAACGGCCTGGTCTAGAAAAACTATCAGTTTAGATGAAACATAAAGTAAACAAACTGTACAATGCACATAAATAACAGCACATTCACAATAACCAGTACTTGATTACGTACATCAGAGAAGAGTACAAAGTCGATTGTTACACACCGAGGAAGGAACGCGCCAGCGGAGACTCAAATCAGTACTAAGTATTGGTATCTGGTGTCTATTGGTGACGACAGATGCATATTACAAATATCTATACTACAGATAACATTGTACGTTGGTAAGTATTTGTCAGCTGTATGTCCTTGTACGTCTGTGCATGTGAACTCCATTAAAAATCAACTCATTTTGTGCTATCATTGTTGAGTTGATAGCTTCTAGCGACTGAGACTATTTGTGAGATTGGAGGACATGGTGGTATATCTCACAGTATGTATGTACTGATGTATTTAAGCACTAAAAGTTTTCACCCTGGTATTTTTAAGTAAGTTAAAAGTGTAACACGCCCATTATGGCGAGCACCTTATTTTGAGAGCAGCAACCGTTCAGTATGGCGGCCTTGGCTGTACAGATTATATTATCAAAAAAAAACCAAATGTCACCTTGACCAGGTGTTGTGAAAAATTACATTCCAAGCAACAGCTTACTACAAATACAAAATAGTATAATTCGATGTGTATGAGCCTTCTGGATATAGCCCACCAAAATATATGGATATAAGTGAACATGACAGTAACAGCTATACGGATGAGTGTGTGAATCCTTTGTTCGTCACACTGGGGATATACCTAGAAATAGGGAATCAAAGTACCCTTAAAATATGTTTTGGCCACATAATCAATTTGGTAGATACGTGCTTTCTCAACGTTTTTAATATCATTTACTTTAGCTATTAGTCGCCCTCTGTATGTTTAAATAATGATGTCCACAAGGTCATATGTCATTCACTAAACCCTACACACATATGCACCCGATCATCATTAAGAGTAAATGTGCATGTGCTATATAAGCTTTGACAAACATAGTAATTAAATGCCATTTAGAATTCCAGTTGGAATGTCAACATTTGACATTTTGAGACGATCACTGTGTGTAAGCTGTGAGAGTTTAAAGGCTGATTAGTGTACAGACTGAGGTGAACCTTGAACTGAAACAATGCCGTACTGAATTATCACAATCAAATTGATAAACATTATTTATCATCGAATGGTGTTTATGTGAGATCAAACAAAACCTCCCAGGAGATATCGTTTCAACAGTAGATTTTATACAATGCCCTGACGTCATCAGTTACGTGACTCTCAATGCTATACTTGTTGACGACACAGTACTATGACATCGCTGCACTGCAAGCCTAATGGCAGTTCCGTGTTCAGAGATATACATTTTTCATTGAAAACTAAATGAAGAGTGATTCTTTTGTGATAAATAGAGTCACACCCTCGTGTCTTCTGATATGAAATATAGCAGCACTCGTTGATAAAAGTAAACTATTACCGGCAAGCCTCGGGTATATGTAACTTTATCAACTTAATATAATTGATATCAGTAGACACTTATGTGGGATTCTCTATTTCTGTCAAGGACCAGACAGATCTTGCAGTTGAGAAAAGTTTCAGTGCAGTAAAAAGCAAATAGGAACAATAAATCACTCAAAGGTTCCTGGAAGTTCTTCAAGTATTACACAATTATGGCTTTCGAGCAGCTGTGCATTTTCTTTTCTCTCTCTCGCCACACCAGGTATTCAAGATGCTGTGGCTGTACTGTAGCTGCGATGGTGGTTTTTCTTCTCCTGAAGGAGCTGATGAGACTTCCAACTGTCGGCAAATATGGGAGAGTTACGTCTTCATCACCGGCTGCGAAATCGTGTTTCTCTGAAAGAGGAGCAGACGAACTGAGGAAAGTGTCGTCTGCCCGACTGAAGACGTTGTCGTTGGATGTGACTAAAACTGACAGTATTGTGAAGGCGCGTGCAACAGTAGAAAAACAACTTCCGTCAAATAAAGGTAGTTACCTAAAGACAGTTGCACATGTATCAGTTCGAAATACGGAATTGCAACAACCTGTCATTGAGTGTGTCGGATGGGTCATTGGATTCAACCAGGTCATGGTGAGACACATACACTGGTTTTTACTCGAGCATTTTCAACAAACAGGATACCCGAAACCGGGCGTGTGTGTATGTGTGCGCGCTCGTGTGTATGCGCGTGTGAGTGTTTCATCATGTAATAGATTATGTTCTTGTGCAAGTGTAAACTGATATATTTTAAAATACAGGAAATGTCTTTGAGTGATTACTTCATATTTGAGTGTATTTGGTCTTGCAATTTCGCCAATTGTGACTTGAAGGTGCTGTGTATGTGCTGCTCCATATTTTGCTGACTGCACAGCAACCTCTACCCTGCAAAACCAAAAACTTAGCAACTCTCATGTACTGTACATCATAGTACATGTTTCATAACATACACGACATCATGTACAAAGTGTAATAAATATTGTCCAAAAACCAGTTTTTATGTATCACCGCACTAAAATATTGTTTACATAGTTTGATAAATAATTGTTTCATGATGAATATTCATCTGGCTGAGGGTTTGACAATTTTGTTTTGAATATCTGAAAGTAGTTACCGAAATAATGTTAACCATGCCATCAAGGTTATTTATCGAGCTGTTGACTGATTTGTGACACTATGACTTTTTGTGTGAATAAAAACGTCACCATAAATGGGAAAGGTCATATATTTATATCTTTTATTATGCTACGAGAACTGCTATTTATTAAAACAATATACATCATTATCAATATATTTACAGCATGCCAAAGAACAACAATTTGACACATGCAAATCTCTGTAATCTATCCAAAGTAAAGTTTACAATGCATTTTCTGTCAAATTTGCAAAGCAACAAACAATTTCTTTCTTGTAACTTTGAGTCATTCTGTCACCTGAACTTGCATACAGTCATCCCTTAGGCTTGGAATAGAGTAAAATTATATGTTAAGCCTACCAACTAGTTTATAAACTATTTATGTTAATAGCTCAAGTAGTTATATATAAGCCAATTGTCTCCATTGATTATATCTATTAAATAGTTCCTATCAAATATAAATATTAATACGTAAAAATAGTTTATAATTTGGAATAGTTACTGAAAATATTGTTGCAGCATAACAAATGTATTTAGAAAATAAATAACAAATGAAAATATTCCAATTGGAAATTGCATATTTTATTTGAAAATGAGTCAATGTGGCCAAATATGAATAGAACACCAACTTGATAAAGTTGGTAACACATGACTGTTTTATAAATAGCAGTGTATTAATTGATAGTTTTATCATATTCAATGAATACCATTTACTCAAATGCATTTCACGTTAACCATGTCATTGATGCCCAGAATATATTTTTGACAAACACTGTCCGCGATACTGTGAAAAGAAACACGTTTAGCGATAGAACTGCGCTGGTTGTCAAAATATATTATAGCTAAAGAAAGGTACTCATATGTTTTCGAATTGACTCATGGTTGTCGGTTGTCAGTGAGGAACCGATAACCCTTGAAGGAATAATAAATTTCCGATCGTATCGTCCCAAAATTAGTCAATTATTACGACTATCACCAGCTGTGACAGTCAAGCATGGTAGTACATTTGGTCCGGTCTAATAAGGTCATATTGGCGGTCGCGCAATTTGAAACCAGAAATGGTTCTTTAGTATTCACTTGTCACCGAAATCTAGTACCGGAAGTAGCGCCTCGCGAGACTTACGGGCCCTATAGCAGCACATTGAACACCGGGCTTAGTAACCAGTCCCTGATAACGCAACCCAGAGAAGAGGACAAAGTCGATCGTTACACACCGACGAAGGAAACGCACTAGCCGAGACTCGCATCAGCATAAAGTATTGGTGTTTAGCACCAACCGACAACAGATGCATATTACACATATCTAAAATACAGATAACATTGAAGGTTGGTAAGTATTTGCTAGCTGTATGTCCTTTCATGTCACTTTTGTGCGCGTGACCCCATTCAAAATCAACCCATGTTTGTGCTTGCCAAGCACGACTGGGGGAGAAATTATAGTTGGGTCTTTAGCTCCTAGCGACGGAGACTATTTGTGCAATTGGAGGATATGTTGGTATATCTCAAGAAGAAGATTTTTCATATCTCTACGACAGCATGTATGTACCGATGTACTAAAGCACTAAAAGTATTTACTTAGTATTTTCACGTACGTTAAATGTTTAACACGCCCATTATGGCGAGAACCGTTTTTTAAGATGAGCCACCGGTTAGTATGGCGCCCTTATCTATGCAGGTTACATGTTCATTTCACCTTGACCAGGTGTTGTGATAAATTACAGTCCAAGCAACAGCTTGGTGTTAAGTCCTACAAATTCTAATCGGGAATGTGTTACCTATGATCACGGTATCATTCTACTGAACACGATAATTTAATTCGATGTGTATGAGCCTTCTAGATATAGTCCACCAAAATATTCTCTGCTTGTGGATAAAAGTGAATATGACAGTAAGAGCTATACGGATGAGTGTGTGAGTCCCGTGTTCGTCACACTGGGGATATACCTAGAAATACGGAATAGAAAAAAAAATTAAAATATGTTTGGGTCACAAAATCAATTTGGTAGATGCGTGCTTTCGCAATGTTGCCAATAATATAATATATTGTAGCTGTTAGTCGCCCTCTGTATGTTTAAATAATGACGTCCACAAGGTCATATGTCACTCACTAAATCCTTGGCAGTTGTGTACATGATCATAATCAAGAGTAAGTGTAATTCATTACAGATATATAAGCCTTGACAAATAAAACTCCAGTTAGAATGTCAACATCTGACATTTTTAGACGATCAGTGTGTGTAAGTTTAAAGGCTGAATAGTGTACAGACTGAAGTGAACCTCAAACTGGAACAATGCAATACTGAATTGTCACAAATATATTGATTAAAAGTTTTTCTGACAAGGACCAGACAGATCTTGCTATTGAGAAATGTTCAGTGTAGTAAAAATCGAATCGAGTATTATGCACTAATGAAACAATAGGAGCAAGAAATCATTCAAAGGTTCCTGGAAGTTCTTCAAGTATTATACGTTTATGGTTTTCGATTTTTTTTGTTCAATTTTATGAACAGCTATGCATTTTCTTTTCTCTCTCTCACCACACCAGGTATTCAAGATGGTGTGGCTGTACGTTGTAGCTGCGGTGGTGGTTTTTCTTCTCCTGAAGGAGCTGATGAGACTTCCAACTGTCGGCAAATATGGGGAGCGTTACGTCTTCATCACCGGCTGCGACACCGGCTTTGGGAACCTACTGGCCAAACGACTGGACTCCCTCGGCTTCAACGTGTTTGCAGCGTGTTTCTCTGAAAGAGGAGCAGACGAACTGAGGAAAGTGTCGTCTTCCCGACTGAAGACGTTGTCGTTGGATGTGACTAAACCTGACAGTATTGTGAAGGCGCGTGCAACAGTTGAAAGACAACTTCCGTCAAATAAAGGTAGTTACCTAAAGACAGTTGAACATGTATCAGTTCGAAATTAGGAGATAAACGTACTGTGTTTGGAAATTAAATGAATGTTAGACCGAATTGATAGTCTCTAAATTTCATTTGAAGCCGAACGCGTAATTTCAGGTTTCAAATGATTAATTTAGAGACTATCAATCGGTCTAACATTCATTCCAAACACAGATGTTTATGTTTATCTCCCTTCTACCATAACTGATTTAACGTCGAACTTCCTCGTCCTGCGGAAGACACTGCGTAATCCGGCATGGGATGAGAGGCGAATTGAACTCGTCTGATAAAGGAGTGGTAGGTTCCTTTCGTATTTTTTTTAACATTGCAACATAAAAAATATTCTGTCCAAAGAAAACAAACTACTGTTTATTCAATGCAATAATGTAACACCTAAGAGCTTGGTTTTTATAATCATAACCCCACAAGACGGAAACCAGCCTATTGTTTTGTGTGCCGTGTTACTGTACCCCCTGGCCACACTAATGACATTTTGAACGATGCAACGGGACATGATGGAGTATGAGTGGCAAATTTTGTGTTTCACCTGACAGTTATCTTGCGAATTTCCCATTCTGAACGGAAACAAATATACCATTTACCAGGTAGGTAAATGTTTACGAACGTTTTGCCGCACAAATAGGGATAGATAGGGATGTATTGTTACAAGGTTTTCTGATTTATATGTTAGAAATTGTTTGTTTATGTGTGGGGCTGTGTATTGTAATTGAGTTTGAATATTTTTATAATAGAAGGTAATAATTATGATAGTGAGGTCCCCTAATAATTGTGGAGGAGAAATCGTATAATTGTATTTTTCGAGTTATAATAAATGTTTCATCAGCATTTCCGTCTGTTGTATTGATATTAGTCATGTTGGTGGCCAAGCTGAAGTAGTGCGGCAGTGTTGTATACGTTCGCAGTGAAGCGCCGTGAAATCAGACGCATTTTCAATCCAAATTGATACCGTCTGATTTTATGGCTTGACCAATCAAATTCGAGCATTTCACGTAGCCATGGTAGAATACGGAATTGCAACAACCTGTGCATTTCTGGGTTTGTCAGATGGCACATTCGATTCAGTCAGGTCATTGGTCACATATATTTGTTTTTTACCTGTCATTTTTGACAAACAGGATACCGTATAGTGTGTGTCGCGTGCGTATGCGGGTATGTTTGTTTTCATCATGTAATAGGTTATGTGCAAATGTAAACTGATGCGTTGTTTAAACAAAACATCGGGTTCACACTTTATAGACATTTGAGAAATCAACCCCTTTTCATGATGTGCTTGCCACAGGGCCATGCTGTCAGTTGTCCGTGTTTATCACAGGCGCAGACTTCAAAACACACTGTTTCTTTTGGCACAGGTTTATGGGCAATTGTGAACAATGCAGGAATATCAGGCGCCGTAGGTCAGATAGAGTGGCTGACAAGAGCGGATTATGAACGTTGTCTGTCCGTCAATCTGTACGGTGTCATTGATGTCACGAAAACCTTCCTACCCCTTGTGCGCAGATGTCGTGGTCGTGTGGTCAATATATCAAGCATGATGGGAAGGATAGCTGCCACGTCTGCCCCCTATGTTGTGTCCAAATATGGTGTTGAAGGTTTCACAGATTGTCTCAGGTTTGTATACTTACAAAAAATTGACTGGTTTAGTTTGAAATGTAAAGGTTGAAATAATATAATAATTATATAGTTGTGTTTTCAGTATTGTGTTCAGTGGACATGTGTGCATGTGTATTTTTACATGTAAACACTGACATGCTCCTGGTACCAGCCATGTATGGTATCGGGATATTAGGGTTTGCCAAACTTAAAACACTAGTCATACACTGAGGACTGCTTCATTATCCCCCGCAATGCGTTTTGCGGGGGGTATTAAAATGGACCCTGTCCGTGCGTGCGTCCGTCCGTCCGTGCACATTTGTCTTTTCCGGAGCAGAACTCTAAAACCGTTCAATATTTCTTCACCAAACTTGGCGAATACATGGATGTGGTGGTGTACTGGTGCCTTTTGGTAGTTTTGGAATTTTGAATTAAATATTTTTGGCGTTTCCATGGCAACAAGTTCGACTTTGACTGAAATTGGTGGTAGTGCTCTTTTCCGGAGCAGAACTCTAAAACCGTTCAATATTTCTTCACCAAACTTGGCACACAGATAGATATGGTGGTGTACTTGTGCCTTTTGGTAGTTTTGGAATTCTGAATAAAATATTTTTGGCGTTTCCATAGCAACAAGTTTGACTTAGACTGAAATTGTGGTAGTGCTCTTTTCCGGAGCTGAACTCTAAAACTGTTCACTATTTCTTCACCAAACTTGGCACATAGATAGATCTGGTGGTGTACTGGTGCCTTTTGGTAGTTTTGGAAATCTGAATAAAATATTTTTGTCATTTCCATGGCAACAAGTTTGACTTAGACTGAAATTGGTGATAGTGCTCCTTTCTGGAGCAGAACTTTCAAAACCTTTCAATACTCTCCTTCCACTTTACTATATACACACCTAAATATTTGACATAATCATAACTCGTAAACATAATCATGAAGAGTATTTTGCCATTGCGGGGGATATTGATGATTCTGTCTTCTTGTTATGATTTATCTGCACTCATGTTAACATTATGTTGTTCGTGTTGTCGCCGGGTCTTGAAACTCTCTTCTCGATCCAGTGACTGTAGCGCCTTGCCTGCTCATCGCTGACCGACAATGGGCACAGCCTGGCACCTTTAAACGTATAAGGGAATTTGTTGTCCATAAATATTATTCAAAACATCGCATATGTTCATATGGTTTGATATTGGTTATCGGTGTCGGTGAGCTTATACATATTTTGGCAACTTTGCTTGACACGTCGTAGCGGGGTTATATATTTCCATGTAGATATTATTCATGTATGTATGGTCATGTTGTCATCTTACTGGTACCTTTGGGTAGCTCATCTCCTATTATATCTGCTGTTGGTTCAGTAGTTGGTTTGCTATTCGTGCTTTCCTTATTTAAGAAAACGCAATTCTGGTCATTCCTAGGTCTCTGTTGACAAACATGTGTTGGGCACCCAGAGGTGCTTCAAACGAATGGTCGTGGCGAAAGGTTCACGACTCACGTATCGGGTCAGTATCGGGTCAGAATCTCCCGTTGGAGTGGTCTTCTGTTGTTGCCCTTGATAGGGCCTGTTGGTTGGTTGGTGTTTCCGCCTAAGTGTACTGATGATAGAGTGACAGTAACCAAGCTAACGCCCAATGGCCAGCTGCAATGCATTCCGACTATCTGCTTTCTCAGTCCCCATGAAAGTCTTCTCCACCCCATGTCATTCATCCATGTTATTTATTCACAGGTTTTATAGCTTTGAACGGCCCGGCAGAGATACTGCGTTTCGTGACATGGATGGGAAGCAGGCTACACATGCATGTGGACTGCATGAAATACACAATGCCATTTAGAAAGTGGTCAAATATAACATATGTTATAGTTGGGATTACACTTTCTTAGTAAAGTAACGAGACTTTGTGTAGCCCTCTGATTAATTGGCACGGCTCCCACGGCCGAAAGCTATGAAATACACAATGCCATTTACAGGGGTACACAAAGTCCGCATTCTAGACTACCAGTTGTACAACTTCCATTTTTGTGGAAGCCGCGTAGGCTGAGCGCTAGCACTTTGTGTGCTGGCGATTAGGTGCCTGACTCTGAGGGTGTGGGTACGAATCCCGGATGGGCCTCAACCTAACAAAAGTACTGGAATCTGTACTTTACTGAGAAAGTGTAATCCCAAATGTAACATATGTTACATGTGGGCTGCAATTTGGCAACCCTTTCAAATTGAAACCTTGTTTTTCAATATCTGAAATGTGCTACTAAACAATGGAATCATTGACATATGATCAGTATGGTGGAATAGATTAGGGGGTGCTTAATTCAGTTCCATGTGTATATATTCCGTGATGGAGCCTGATGCTTGTTGTAAGCTGTCCTTCGTCTTTGGTGTCGTCATTCACATTCCAAATACTCTGTCGGAGATCTCGATGTTGTGAGACAATAACCGGATCTAGTTGCTGATTTATCGAGAGCACATAGAAAGGTCTCAGAGCGTCGTCCGGATTAACTTGCGTCTGGATTAACGAATGCTCGAAATAACTGTCTGGGACACGCAGTAATGTCCCACTGTTGTTTCCCGGGAGTCTGGGTTCCTGCCGACAGACATTCAAGGCAGCTTGGTCTCGTTGTGAATCCACAGCACTCATCACTGGGGGAGCGGGATTGTCGCCACATTAGATCAAAGCTCTCACATATTTTTCATGCATACTTTAACAATTCAGATTCAGTTTCAAAATGTTACGGATTGGAAAAGGCAGAGATTTTTAGATGTGTCAAATTATAACTCACACACACCAAAGTCATGTTTTGTTTTCTTAATTTCAGACGTGAGGTTTTAAAACAGGGCGTTAGTGTCCATTTACTGGAGCCTGGCTTCTTCAGAACAGATATAGTGAATGTGGACGCCATCACCAAGTCCTTCCAGACATGTTTCAATCAGACAGACCCAGAAGTACAGCGTTACTATGGAGGCGAATTCGTCCCGAAAAGTATGACTTTAAGTAAAGCATCTCGATATCAAATAACGAATCGGAAAGTCCTGTTTAGCAGAAGAAATGACGCTGTAGTGAAGCATTCTACTTGTGAGAGTAGGTCACTGTGAAGTCAAGCGTTTCATGATCTACGATTACTGTACGCCCAGTATTTGTGTGCCTTCGTACCCTAGTGGCATGGGGTGTTACTCATCATCCTTGACACTGTTCCTGTCATATTTGGAGTTACAGTATATGGTAATAATGGTAACAAAACTTTAAGACGCAACCATTTTGGCGGGTGTCATGGAGTTAAGAGATACTCCCAACCTGTCCAGGATATTGCAAGCCCAATTGTTTCGCAATTACAATATTATAAATGTTTCAAACTGTTTTCTTTCATATCCAGTGAAAACCAGAATTACCGAGATGCTGGAGAAAGTGGCGTCCCCCAAGACGCACCTGGTTGTGGACGCCTACACACACGCCATCATCGCCACGTTCCCCCGCACTCGCTACCTGGTGGGAAACGACTGTAAATACTACTTTAGATTGTTGTGGAATCTGCCTGAGTGGATCTCTGATCGGGTCCTCACGGCCAATTTCCTGGTGCCAGAGGGTGCAGTGTAGAACATACCAGAAGAAAGAACATTTACCATTATACGCGGAATATATTGAGTAAAACATGACGACGGTACATGAACAGTACAACGTGATATCTCATAACTTACCTACTGACACAGTTGAAATCTGAACGAATGTTAATTTATTCAGCTTCTGTTCCTTTATATGTATTTGCATGATTTTCGTTCATGTATATTTTAGTTTAAAAGCATGAGAAATTCAACCTCATCCAAGAATTGTAAATATGCCTCATTATCTGGACACTAAAATGGAGATGATATATACGGTATCATGAAATTGCCGATGGTAAACATATCTGAGTATATAAAGTTGCTTTTGTTCAAATTATTATTTGGTTATGCTGCGAAACTATTGTGCCTGTCCATGTATGGTCATTGGATGAAGTGACGAAGCCCATGTCCAATTTGATAGCCACTTTAACCTCTGTTTTCAAGCATCGTTCTTATAAAGAGGTCTTGTGTGAAACTTGTCGAGAGACAAGTAGATACAGAACATGGAAGAGAGACAACAGGTCACGCTCGTCATCCCTAACGAGATACGAGATGCTTCTTTCCTGACTTTCCATGGGAATCACATGTTAGAAGTTTGCCTTCAACGTTACTTGTCTGTCGATATCGCTATTGTAATCTGCTTTTTTACTGATTTCTAAACGTTAAGAGTTCGGATCACAATGGTCTTGTTCCATCTTCAAACATGCCAGATGCACGTAGCCGTTTCCGACGTGACAGACACAGCATCTAAATAACCCTGAGTTTATAACAATAGCAGAACAACATTCAATGTAAACTTCGCAGTTCGCCCCGACCATGTCCATGAACACATCATTGAAACATGCTTACACGAAACCGGCGTATTTCCAAGAAATTTATAACTCGTTGTGAATGGAATAATCATTTTCTTAATCCATGTACAATTCTACAACTTGGTTCCCAAATATTATCCGTCCAAAATGGAATACCCTCTACCTTGAACGGTTCAATGAAAAAAAAGGTCTATCAAACACAATATATGATAGATTCAGAGTTCAGCGTGCTGTTAATTCAGCATCCAAGTATGAGACACTCCATGGAAGTGCAGCTGATGGGACTGTTCAAGTAGTACCATTAAAGCACTGTGAGAACCAAAATCTTGAAAAAAGGATGCAGCTGTTAAGTAAGGAAACGGAAGGCGACATGTCAGATGAACCGAATAGATGCCCAATTACATTTGAGAAGATGTCTTCCAATTCTGCCCACAGTCCCATTCTGCCTACACGTTAAAACAACATGATACGGTCCAGTGATACGGAAGTAAGGTTAATGTGCTGAACTATTCTACCCCTACTAAAATGAACTTGACCAAAAAGTTAATTGTAGGCAATACGTGAAAAATGACATAAAATAGTGTATCTTTATTCTTTCTGAATGCATTTCATTCATTGGACTTGACAAAATGTCATGGAATATAATACATAATCATTGGAATTGACAAAATGTGATGGAATGTAACACATATATACAAAATATGGAACAAATATGTCAATTTGACAAGTCTAAATTGATCAGTTAGTCAAAATACATATCTCTTGGTCAGTCATGATACAGACATCTTATTTCACTCAGCTTAGTTATCAGGGAGGTCACACAAAGAACAATTACTTTGCTGTATAAATCGAATGTCCAGCAGCATCAAGGAAGGTTTTCCTGCCAGTCTGAAGGTGCTCTTTTAGTCTGGGAAGTCTGTTTGGATCTCTATGGTTGGTTTCAGGAAAGGATATTCGGCAAGTGACCATTTCACTTTATGTCACCTTTCGGAACTATTTAAAGTGTAAAAAAAGTTATATTGCGCATTTATCGATTTTCAAAAAAGAATTTGATACCATCTGGAGATCAGGGTTCTGGCAAAACCTTTTAGAAAATAACATATCTGGGAAATGCTTTAAGGTAATTTTTAACATGTATCAAAGTATATAATCATGTTTTTGAAACGGCGGTGATTATTCCAATTTCTTTCTATGTAAACCAGGTGTCCGTCAAGGAGAGAATTTGTCTCCAGCTTTGTTTTCACTATTTCTTAATAATGTTGAAGATGCTATAGTCCCCGATTGACGTTGTGGCTTAAAACCTTCATCCGGTGATTTTCACAACCGCCAGATTACGCTTATTGCACTTTGTACACTGCTATATGCTGATAATACCGTCCTTATGTCCGCAGACCCTTGTAATTTGCAAATTATGTTAGATTCTTTTCATAATTATTATAAAAAATGGAAGCTTAAAAATAACACATCCAAATCCAAAATTCTTTTTTTCGGTGGATCCACAACAGAATATAAAAGAATTTCAATATTGGAGATATTATTTTGGAAAATGTAGATTATTATCCCTATCTTGGTATTACACTACAAAAGAATGATAAATTTACTGAAATCAAACGTTTACTGCTGGAAAAGGCAGAAAAAGCAATGTTTTTCGTATTAAGCCAAGGTAGAAAACATAAACTTTCCATTGATTGTCATTTAAATTGTTTGATTGTATGGTCACTGTAGTTCTTTAATGGATGTGGGATTTTGAAAATACTTCCTGTTTTGGAAATGTTCATCTACGCTTTCTCAAATATTTAGCATCACTCAGGAAAGGTACACCTAACTTTATGGTATATGGCGAGTTTGGTAGATTCCAACGTGTAAATGTTATTAAAAGCATAATGGTATGTTTTGGGGCTAAACTTTTACCTGAGAATCGTCAAAATCGTGCTTCTTAATCTATAAATTGATATTCAAGGATTATATATACTACAAACAAAACGTATGGGAACACCATAAAATTTGATAGTCATATATAAACTTCAACGTGGTGAGGTCATTTATTCTCTTAGATAAATGCAACTTTTTGTGTGTTTAATGGCACTTTAAACGACATGTTGGAACATGCAGTGAAGCAACTGATTCAATATTCGTTGAGTCTGAGTGATAATTGATAATCTTGAAAAAAAATTCAGCGATCTTGAACTGATGTTTCATGTGGAAATCCGGCCCAAAATCCTGAAAGTATATTTTAGCTTTAAACTGTTATTGAAAGTAAATTAAAAGATATTTATCAGCAAACATGGATGTCAACAATTACTTCCCAAGCAGCCACTAATAGCATTTTGAACAACCCATTTCTCAATTTTGAACAATGCCTTAATTTTCTGCATTACGATAACTTGTTAAAATTTCGAACTTCCAACCATTTTCTTCCAATCGAGACAGCAGTTGGCGACGAATCCCAGTGAATGAAAGATAGTGTGCTCTGTGTAACTTAAATGATATTTGTGACGTATGGGCTTAAGGTGTAGATAATCAGGGTGTCATCATGAAAATATGATAACAAAACTGAGTACACAATAGAAGTACACTTCCCTCACCATGGAGACTCCATTACAAAATCGGTGATGTATCAAATACATATGTAGACATCTGAACATATTACAGTAAAACAACACAATATGATAACAAACATGCATACCAGAGCATGCATGCTAATGGTTTCATAAAACATACTGAAAGTATCTCTCACAAAGCATGGATAAATACCCTATTTATCTTACATCTATAATTAAATTTTGCCACCCGGACAAATGCCACCCAAATAAAAATGAAAAACCCACCAACTCAATATCATGTTTCTCAGATGTATTTGCATGATAATACATTTTTCATTTACACACAAAAGAGCAAAATGACATTCATTTTGCTTTCATTGTCATCTTGTTTTCATTTTTCATTTTTAACATTAACAATAATAGACACTAGATGTGTTTTTTTAATTTCCAACATTGGCACTAGTCGCACTATTGAGCACTAAATACGCCATGAAATACTATATAAAAGATGTTGCATGTTTCAAACATGAGCACTAGTTCATAACAATATTCTTCAATATATCATCCCAGTTCAATGCTATACAATTTCACATTCAAAGTCTGATGTTATGAGCTACACTCCTCAGGTATTCCATTAATGCCTGCTTCTGAAGACTGCAGCAATGACCTAGAGACGCTGCTGGCAAGCCCGATATTGCCTCCAGTGACTTTTGATGGTCTGCCCGGCTAACACCTGGGTAATCACCTGCTCTTCCAGAGCTTGCTCCACCCTCAACACATTTCAGAAACGCCAGATGCTGGGATGACAACCTGCCATGCTTGTGAGTTATCTCCTGTTCCACCCTTCCAGGCTAGTGTTCATCATTGGTATGTTGTCCAAAGTCCTCTGGTGCTGGTTCCAGCTTGACACTGAAAACATTGGTGGTCGTCGTCCTCGGTGGGCGACCGATGTAACTGTCCTCAAAGTAGTCCAGGACAGGTTGTAGTGTCTCGGACAGACGGTCGGCCAGGGTTTCGAAGACATCGACCACTTGGTCTTCAGGGATGAACGCCAGGTCTAGTATGATCCTGGACTCCATCTGCAGCTCGGTCGATGCTGCCTGAAGTCCTGCACTCTGGATCCGCCGGCAGATGTTTTGACTGGGGTGGTGAAAACATCCCTTCACCTCGATTCCTGGAAATTCAGAGTCACGGCATTCCATATATGGCTTTCTCAAAGTCTAGCATCAGCGTGCCTTGGGGCAAAGTCTGTTCCAAGTTCCTTCGCCTTGGGGAACACGTCCCTGTATGTCGCTTCCTGTCTCTTGAGTGTGAGAGCATACACGCAAGGAATCACAGCATTGCTGGTCAAACAACGGATGGTGAAAAGCTGGTAATAGAGTTGACGGGCTGTCTTTAATCTTCCACCAGCAAACCAGTGTTGGGAACGTGCGAAGAGGTCGAGATTCCTTGTCGTTGAAAAGATAAGGATTCGGTTGTTGAAGTTACATTAACTCACAGGCTTCTCACCAATTCAAGGCCAAATTATTTCTTAAATCACATTTTAAAATCCATTTATATCCACATTTTTATAAAGTAAACATTACTATGAAATCCAAATTATTCATCAAAGTCAACATAATTCATAATAACAAAAATCAACATTTGTATCAAAGTCAACCTTTTCTAACAAAGGCAAATTCTGTTTAACTTAAACACTTTATAAAATTTAAATAAAAATGTCATTAAAGTCAATAAGGGTGGTTATTGTCCTCTCTGCAATGATAAAGTAACGGGGTGACTTTTGTCCTTGGTGGCATTTGTCCCGTGTGGTATTTGTCCAAGGTGGCTTGTGTCCAGGTGGCTTGTGTCCGGGTGGCTTTTGTCCGGGTGGGCTTTTGTCCATGTGGCTTTTGTTCTGCTCCCGTACACAAGAAAGGAAAGGGGATTTTCAAAAATGTATAATTTGTAAAGTTAATATTTTAAAAAATACACATTTCAAAACTACGGGTTTGTGTGTATATTTTAGTTTTTATACTCCAAAGCGCAACTGTGTTAATTTCCCCCAGTCAATGATTGTATAAATACAAAATATGTACAGCTACCTCACATGGATTAAATAAAATTTGTACCAGAGCCACGGTCATAACCGTAAACTCTTGCCAGGACGTAACAGGTAGTAGTAGTAATGCATTTCTGTTTTCAGTGTAATATATACAGTTTGGTTGCTGATACCGTATGTAGAAAATTTTGTTGCTTACAAAGAAAGATAATGAAATTGCCCACCTTTCCTGTCTCATATATCGGTTACTTCAACATCAGATGTTACTCGTGGATTCATTATCATTGGAATAAAATGTGGATCACCATCCGTCACAATATAACAACCAGCTAGTAAGTAATCCACAATTTAGTAATATTGACAAACACGTCTAACAATCGTAAAGCAAGATGCTACTATTCATATAGATGGAAATCACTCGCTAAACTGTATAGTTTTAATGATGATTTGAGTAATGAATGACGCGGGTTATCACTTTCTCAGCATCATGCGTTTTTTATATAAGAAACTAAACAGCATACCTCCAGTCGGCATCTAGAGTTATCTCCCTTCGCTACTCGAACCACTGATAATGCGGTTTCGCCCATAATAGTTTGAGAAGAATGTTCAAATCTGCCGTAGCCTGCTATCTAATGTGGGTCTTAAAGGCTTGAAGCGACGTCTGCACGTTCATTGTTTGATGTAATGATAATAACATATGTCTCAGTCACTGTAGTGAGAAACCGAGATATAGGAAATTATATATGTTAAAAAAAAAGGTTAATCTGCTTTGAGAACACGATGCCAATCGTAACACAATGCTTCTTTGATCGGGCATTCTAAAGTCCGAGTTTACAGATACCACTTTCTTGTTGATGCATAGAGGGCCGTTTCCATGCATTTTTTTTAAACATCGTTATCAAGATAAAAGTTACTACAACCAGGTGAATAGACGTATACGTGCATAGTATACCGTGACAAGTAGCAGGTTAACAATAACAGCGACAGGTAATTTAGCAAGTTGCACACAGTTGGATTGGATCATCCGGAGGGTAAGATCAACAAATTGTAAACAGGCTGATTGGATGCTAATTGAACAGCTGTAAATCAACTTCACTATGACAAAGTCGAAACCCAGTTCATCATCAAAGTGATGAACTCAATCAAACATCCAAACATCATCCAGTCAGCTTGTCATGCTTTCCTGTAATTTAGGTGACATACAACTAGTACCCAACCCGCAATATATCGTCTATTTCATTAATTATCACAAATTTTGCAGAGCCAAACTAATGCATAGATGAGTAAATACTGTTTAATATACCAAATACTGAGCTGAATTGTACTTAGTATTCCTAGTGGCAAACTGTGCAATGCACATGAATAACAACACATAGAACACCGGGCTCAATAACCAGTCCCTGATAACCCAACACACGGAAGAGGACAAAGTTGATCCTTACACATCGACCAAGGAAACACGCCAGCCGAGACTCGCATCAGCATAAAGTATTGGTGTCTAACACCAACCGACGACAGATGCATATTACACATATCTAAAATACAGATACTATTGAACGTTGGTAAGTATTTGCCTGCTGCATGTCCATTTACGTTTGTGCGTGTGAACTCATGTTTGTGCTCGTTAAGCAGTACAGTGCAAGGGAGTAATCATTGTTGGGTTTTTAGCTTATAGCGACAAAGATTATTTGCGCGATTGGAGGATATGGTGGTATATGTCAGAAGATTATTCATATCTCTACAACAATATGTATGTACTGATGTATTTAAGGTCTAAAAGTATTTACACTGGTATGTTCACGTAAGTTAAATGTTTAACACCACCATTATGGTGAGTACCGTATTAGAGCAGCAACCGTTCAGTACGGGGTAAGTTTTATGATCCAACAACACATTAAGCTTGATCAGGCGTTGTGATAAATTACAGTCGAAGCAACAGCTTTGTGTTAAGTCCTACAAATTCTATTCGGGAATGTGTTACCTATGATCACGATATCATTCTATTCAACACGATGATCTATTTCGATGTGTTTGGGCAACAGTTTGGTTGATACGTGCTTTCGCAATGTTTTTGATATAGTTTAGTTTAGCTGTTAGTCGCCCTCGGTATGTTTAATAATGATGTCCACTACTGCATATGTCACTCACTAAATCCTACACACTTATGTACCTAATCGTCATCAGGAGTAAATGTAATGGATCATAGCTATATAAGCCTTGACAAACATAGTAATTAAATGCCATTTTAGAATTCCAGTTGGAATGTCAACATCTGAATTTTCAGATGATCACTGTGTGTAAGTTGTAAGAGTTTAAAGGCTGAATAGTGTACAGACTGAGGTGAACCTTGAACGGAAACAATGCAGTACTGAATTGCCACAATCAAATTGAAAAAAATATTTCTGACAAGGACCAGACAGATCTTGCTATTGAGAAATGTTCAGTGTAGTAAAAATCGAATCGAGAATTATGCACTAATGAAACAATAGGAGCAAGAAATTATTCAAAGGTTCCTGGAAGTTCTTCAAGTATTATACGTTTATGGTTTTTGATTAGCTTTTTGTTTAACTTTATGAACAGCTATGCATTTCTTTTCTCTCTCATCACACCAGGTATTCAAGATGGTGTGGCTGTACGCTGTAGCTGCGGTGGTGGCTTTTTTTCTCCTGAAGGAGCTGATGAGACTTCCAACTGTCGGCAAATATGGGGAACGTTACGTCTTCATCACCGGCTGCGACACCGGCTTTGGGAACCTACTGGCCAAACGACTGGACTCCCTCGGCTTCAACGTGTTTGCAGCGTGTTTCTCTGAAAGAGGAGCAGATGAACTGAGGAAAGTGTCGTCTGCCCGACTGAAGACGTTGTCCTTGGATGTGACTAAACCTGACAGTATTGTGAAGGCGCGTGCAACAGTAGAAAAACAACTTCCGTCAAATAAAGGTAGTTACCTAAAGACAGTTGAACATGTATCAGTTCGAAATACGAAATTGCAACAAACTGTGCATTTCTAGGTGTGTCAGATGGCACATTTGATTCAGCCAGGTCATTGGTCACACATATACATTGTTTTTTACACTGCATTTTCAACAAACAGGATACCGGATAATGTGTGCGCGCGCGTGCACGTGTGTGTGTGTATGTGTGTTTTCATCATGTAATAAATTATGTGCATGTGCAAATGTAAACTGATGCGCTTTTCAAACCAAACATCGCCTTCACACTTTATAGACATTTGGGAAATCAAACCTTTGGCATGATGTGCTTGCCACTAGGCCATGCTGTCAGTTGTCCGTTTTCATCACAGGCGCAGACTTAAAAACACCGTTTCTTTTGGCACAGGTTTATGGGCAATTGTGAACAACGCAGGAATATCAGGCGCCATAGGTCAGATAGAGTGGCTGACAAGAGCGGATTATGAACGTTGTCTGTCCGTCAATCTGTACGGTGTCATTGATGTCACGAAAACCTTCCTACCCCTTGTGCGCAGATGTCGTGGTCGTGTGGTCAATATATCAAGCATGATGGGAAGGATAGCTGCCGCTTCTGCCCCCTATGTTGTGTCCAAATATGGTGTTGAAGGTTTCACAGATTGCCTCAGGTGTGTATACTTACAAGAAATCGACTGGTTTAGTTTGAAATGTGAAAGTTGAAATAATATGATGATTAGTAAACTGAGGGGCAAAAGAAACGTCCCCAAAGTAAAATTGTAAAAAACATTTCTTCTGTTTTCGTTATGACGGAAATTTATTTAGGAACACATCTCCCGAACGCATCCCCACGTCTCACAGCAAGGAAATCCACGTGGAGTTTTTTGTAAGCATGAAAATTGCTTTTATTCACGTTTTTTGCATGCTTCTGTGGAAACATACCCGTATGAAAGTACAGTATAAAAATTATGCTCGACTGTTCGAATTCATCACTTCAATACGTTGGACACAAAGAACATGCCTCGACTCACGGCAGAACAGAGAGAACGAGCTATTTGGATGTTGCAGCTGGGTGCTTCTCACAGTCACGTTGCAAGAATCATGGGTTGCAGCAAGAAAACCATCACCAGACTGATGACACGCTTGAGAACAACAGGTCGGACTGCAGACAGGCCTAGGACAGGGAGACCACCCGTAACCACCCCTCAGGAAGACCGCCATTTACGGGTGCTTCACTTGCGCAACAGATTCCTGACTGTGACGTCATCAGCAACAACCAGCCTTACCCATCCAGTCAGTAGAAGGACCATATCCAGACGACTCCGCCGATTCGGTATCAGAGCCTACAGACCATTCCGGGGCGTGACGTTAACGCGTGAACATCGACGTCCTCGATTGGCTTGGGCACGTAGAGTTCGGCAGTGGCAGCCGCGGAACTGGCGCCGGGTACTCTTCAGTGACGAGAGCCGCTTCCAGTTGAACAAAGCTGATGGTCGGGTACGAGTCTACAGACGTCGGAACGAACGCACAGCACGTTGTTGCGTTCAGGAAGTTGAGACGTTTGGCGGCGGTAGTGTGATGGTGTGGGGGGGGGGGGAATTTGTGGCGAGAGGAAGACTGACTTGTTGGTGATAGAGGGAAACCTGAATGCCCGTCGATACATTGATGTTGTTTTACGACCTGTCGTGTTACCCTTCCTCCAGCAGAATCGAGGCGTGTTGTTTCAGCAGGATAACGCTACTCCCCACACTGCTGTTGTTACCCGGAACTTCCTGAACAACAACAACGTAAACGTCATTCCTTGGCCAGCAAGATCCCCCGATTTATCACCTATTGAGCACCTATGGGATCATCTCGGCCGTCAGGTTAAGCAACGTCAACATCCCCCACAGACAAGAAACGCTTTGGCTCAAGCTCTACAGGAAGAATGGCGTCGCATCCCACATCACGTGATCAGACGTCTTGTGCACTCTGCACGACGTCGTGTGGCAGCATGTATCGCTGCAAGAGGTGGACACACTCGCTACTGAGGAGTTGGACACTCAAAGACACTCTGTCAGTACTGATGTGCATGTGTTGTCATGATCGAAAACCGGACATTTGAACCTCCTGTGAAAAACGTCACAAAAACTCTACTTACAGCAAATTGTTTCAATTGTTCTGTAATGACAGTCTGCATAATATGTTCAAAAATTATATCAAACATTTCAACATTGAATTGCACGTGTTTGTATCATTTTATGATACAAAAATGATCGGGGACGTTTCTTTTGCCCCTCAGTTTAGTATGATAAAATAATATGATAATTAGAGTATTGTGTTCAGTGGACATGGGTATATTTATATATGTAAACACTGACATGCTCCTGTCAGCATCGGGATATTAGGGTTTTGCCAAACTCAAGAAACTATTCATACACTTTAGTGTGCTTCATTAGGATTTATCTGCTTTGATAAAATAATACATAACGTTCACAAATCTGAAAACCTAAAATGAACAGTCAGATTTATATTACGTTGTTCGTGTTGTCGCCAGGTCTTGAAACACTAACTCTTCTAGTCCATCGCTGACCGACGGTGTGCACCACTTGGCATCTTAAAACTCATAAGAGAATTTTTTGTCCATAAATATTATTCAAAACATCGCATATTTTCATGATGCTTTATTTGACGGTTATGCACAGTCTCGGTTGACAAACATGTGTTGGGCACCCAGAGTTGCTTCAAACGAATGGTCGTGGCGAAGGGTTCACGATTCACGTATCGGGTCAGATCGCTATCTTCCGTTGGAGTGGTGTTATTGTGGTTGCCCTTGACAGGGTCTATTTGTTGGTGTTTCCACGTAAATGTACTGATGATAGAGTGACATTAACCAAGCTAACGTCAGCTGCATGTATTCCCACTATCTGCCTTCTCGGTCCCAAAGAAAGTCTTCTCCCCATGTTATTTCATCCATGTTATTTATTCACAAGTTTTAAAGCTTTGAACGGCCAGGCTGAGATACTGCTTTTCGTGATATGGATGGGAAGCATGCTTCACATGCATGTGGGCTGCAATTTGGCAACCCTTTCAAACCGAAACCCTGTTTTTCATTATCTGAAATGTGCTACTAAACAATGGCATCATTGACATATCATCAGTATGACGAAATAGATTAGGGGGTGCTTAATTCAGTTCCATGTGTATATATTCCGTGATGGAGCCTGGTGTTTGTTGTAAGCTGTCCTTCGTCCGTGGTGTAGTCATTCACATTTCCAATATCTCTGTCGTGGATCCAATGTTGTGAAACAATAACCGGATCTAGTTGCTGAATAATCAGGAGCACAGAGAAAGGTATAAGTCTCAGAAGCATCGTGAAGCAAGTACGTCGCCACATTAGATTAAAGCACTCAAAAATTGTTCTGGCAGTAGTTCTGACACGATGCATGTCAAAAAACTTCGTTAACAGTAAAACCGTTTGGGGAAAGTTCTACTACTTTAACAATTCAGTTTCAACTTCAAAATGTGGCGGATTGGAAACTCAGAGATTTTTAGATGTGTCCAACTAAGATGCACACACACAAGTCATGTTTTGTTTTCTTAATTTCAGACGTGAGGTTTTAAAGCAGGGCGTTAGTGTCCATCTACTGGAGCCTGGCTACTTCAAAACAGATATAGCGAATGTGGACGCCATCACCAAGTCCTTCCAGACATGTTTCAATCAGGCAGACCGAGAAGTACAGCGTTACTATGGAAGCGAATTCGTCCCGAAAAGTAAGACTATAAATACAGCTTCTCGATATCAAATAACGAATCGGAATGTCCTGTTTTAGCAGAAGAAAAGACGTTGTATTGTCTACTGGTCATTCAAGGTGAGAGCAGGTCACTATTAAGCCAAGCGTTTCATGATCTACGGTTATGGTACGCACAGTATTTCCCTCGGCTGATTGTGTGCCTTCGTGCCCTGGTGGTAAAAGGTGTTGCTCATCATCTTTGACACCGTTCTTGTCCTAGTTAGAATTACAGTCCATGATAATAAAACGTTAAATTGCAACCATTTTGGTGGGTGTTAGGGAGTTAAGGGATACTCCCAACCATTTCAGCTTAATACAATCCCAATTGTTTCGCAATTACAATACAATATATGTTTCAAACTGTTTTCTTTCATATCCAGTGAAAGCCATGATTACCGAGATGCTGGAGAAAGTGGCGTCCCCCAAGACGCATCTGGTTGTGGACGCCTTCACACATGCCATCACCGCCATGTTCCCCCGCACTCGCTACCTGGTGGGAAACGACTGCAAGTACGTTTTCAGACCCCTGTGGAATCTGCCTGAGTGGATCTCTGATCGGGTCCTCACGGCCAAATTTGTGGTGCCAGAGGGTGCATTGTAGAACATACCAGAACATTTACCATTATATACGTAATATATTGAGTAAAACGTGATGACGGTACATGAACAGTACGGCATGATATCTCATGACTCACCTAATGAAACAGTTGAAAGAATGTAAATATTTCACCAGCCTCTGTTAATTTATATGTATTTGCATGATTTTCGTTCACGTATATTTCAGTTTACAAGCATAAGAATTACAAACTGATATAAGAATTGTAAATGTGCCTCATTGTCTGGATGCTAAAAAAGAAATGCTATATACAGTATCATGAAATTGCCAATGGTAAACATATCTGATTATATAAAGTTGCTTTTGTTCAAACTATTATTTGGTTATGCTGCGAAAACGAAACTATTGTGTCTGTCCATGTATTGTCATTGGATGAAGTGACGAAGCTATGCGAGACCCATTTCCAATTTTAGTGACAATTTGACCTCGGTTTCAAAACATCGTTCTTATACAACAGTCTTGTGCGCAAGTTGTCGATCTTGGTTTGTCTTCAACGTTTTTTGTCTGTCGATCTCGCTATTGTAATCTGCTTTTTACTGATTTCTAAAGAGTTTCGGGTTTTTTTCACATTATTTTTATTCATTTCACTTCGGCAGGTGTAGATACATATATCTTATCATTGTTTTTCAAAGCTTACACAGGACGCGCTCATAAAATGATGGAGATGTCAGGTGTATAATTATATCTGTAATACATTGTTCAGAGGTTTCCACGTCGTCATATGAGCGAAATATTCTCAAGCGCGACGTAAAACCCAATTTCACCTCACCTCACCTCAGAGGTTTCCATTTGGAATTAACTTTAGGCAAAGCATTGTTCTTACAAGCAATAATTCTTTCTACTTTGTACACATCCTTGACGATATTAGCAAGACAGTCAATGGATAGTTCATTCTGTTTTGTACTTGAAGAATGAATATTTTCTTTGGCCAACAGGATAATGTGTGTTGCTAGTAGACGAGCTGAACTGTTGCAAAAGAGAATGTCTTGATCAGAAATGGGAACATCACAATGTGTGGGATTAATAAAGTGTTCAACCTTTCTGCAAACTTCCTGTACAAGATTACATTTTATGAATACATGTTGGAGGCTTTCTGGTTCAGATTGACAAAAAGAGCAAATATTTGTTTAAGTTATCTTCATTTGCACCAACTCTTTTCTAGTATCAATTGCTCTGTTTAAAAATCTATACTGAAAATCTTACATCTTTACATCCTTGTGCAGTTTCTGTATTTTTTAAACACGATGTTCCTTGAAATATCTATATTTAGTTCGTTCTGTCATTTCTGACAAACTGTAGATAGGGTATCATTTGCTATAAGTTTGTCATAGAAAATTCTACATCCCTTCATTTGAGAAAGTAGGTCTTGAAGACTTGAGTTTAGTGAGAGGTTTTGTGTACTTACGGGATCAGATAAAAGAGTATTTTTCCAAGATTTGGGAATATTCAAGATGATTGTATTGTACTCTAAAACTGTTCCATTTATGCAGTGGAGCTTTTGTATTTCATTGAAAGACAAGAAACATGTTCACCCCATATATCTCTTATTGTATGAATACCTCTGTTAAACCAATCTTCAATCAAGAAATTACTATTTCTAAATTGGTGGTTCAACCACAAAGGTTCAGCCAAGATTTCTTCTGGTTGACAAGTATTTATCTTATGTTGTTGTTTATAATATTTACTCCAAATAGATAAAACATCACTCCAAAATGGGTTATCAATCTTTGCATGACTGTGAATATGTGCATCAAGAAGAAACATTTTGTTGAGTGGAAATAAACTGGGATTGTGAGTTGACGTTTTCTTTACATACCTTCTGGAACAGGATAACTTTAGTGCATTTATAAAGGATTTGATATCTATCATTCTTAATGCACCTTCTTCATAGTTTCTACATATAGTTGTTCTCTTCATTTTTATCCTTCTTGCCATTCCACATGAAATTATATACACTATTGTTTAGTTGATTAAGAAATTCCTTTGGGGGTGATGGTAACACACAAAAAATGTACTAAAGTTGATATTGCTAGTGTTTTCAAGACTGTAATTTTCCCGTGCAAGGTTAATTTTCTCCTTTTCCAGCTGCCAGAATTCTATTAATTGTTTCTAGTCTTTTTCTAGTATTGATTACCCATAAATCCTCCAAATTGGGGTTGAAATATATACCAAGGATGTTAAAGTCACCTTCATGTCAGTCTAGGCTATTTTCTGCACATAATTTCACTGTTCACTTCACTACCAATCATTGAACCTATCCAAATAGATTTAGTTTTTTTTCAATGTTTATCTTAAGCCCTGACATTTTATAGAATTTATGTAAAGTTTCTAGAGCTATTTTAAGGCTATATTCAGATCCGTCTAAATATAATTGAGTATCATCAGTATATTGTCCCAATCTATATTCTTCCTTAGTGAGTTTAATACCTTTGATAACTTTATTGTCTCTTATTATAGTACCTAGGATTTTTGCAACAAAAATAAAAAGGTATGGCGATACTTGGTCCCCCTGTCTACAACCCCGTTCATTAGGTAAACAAGAGGAGAGATAGCCGTTGTGGATAACACATGAGGACGCGTTCTGCATCAGTATGTTTATCCACTTTATCATATTGGGCCCAAAGCCAAATTTACTTAGAACGTTTATAATAAATTGTTTGAGACAGTATGGAAAGCTTTCTCGAAATCGATCAGAATCAGGAGGCCTGGTTTCTTTTTCTTTTTCAGTTCATACATGATATCATACACCAGTCTAACATTATCACTTATGCATCTGCCTGGTATAAATCCTGTCCGATCAGAATGCATCAGTATATCTAATGTCTTTTTCAGACTGTTTGCAATGCAGGAGCTTATAATTTTGCACAAGGTATTTAAGAGAGAGATAGGTCGCCAGTTTTTCATGTATATTCTGTCTTTATCTTGTTTTGGTATACAAGTTATGACTCCTCTGTTAATAGTAAAAGATTTTTATCAAAAACTTCTTGAACGTATCTGTAAACCCAATACTTGAGGTCTGTCCAAAACCATTAAAAAAATTCCACAGGAAAACCATCTAGGCCTAGGCTCCTATTATTTTTCATAGCCTTAACTGTTTCAGACAGTTCCTTTATTTCAATTGGTTTGTCAAGATCTTTTGCAAAAGAGCTATCAAGTGAAGGAGTGTTGATGGTGTCTAAGATTTCTAGTGCTTCACAATCAATATCAATTCCAGCATATAGCTTATGATAGAAATGTTTTTGTTCTTTGAGAATATCTTTTCCATCAGTCAAAAGTTCTTCCTTTGCATTAAAAAGAGAATTGATAGTTTTACTTGTATAATTTCTGTTTTCCAAATGACAAAAGTAGCCCCTTTCCTTACTGTGAATATTGGAAAATGACAATGAAATAGCTGAGTGATCTGACTTGTATCCTGGCAGTATTGCTGTTTCTATAGTTAGACGTTATAACGTTAAGAGTTCGTGCCACTATGTTCTTATTCCATCTTCAAACATGCCAGTTGCACGTATCCGTTCCTGCTGCATCAGACGCAGTATGTAAAAAACATTTAACCGAGTTTAAAACAATAGCAGAACAACATTCACTGTAAAAAGTTTATTCCGACCATGTTCACGAACACATAATGAAAACACGCTTGCACGAAACTGGCGTATTTACATGATATTAATATCACTTTATGAATGGAATAACCATTTTCTTAATCCATATACAATGCTACAGCTTGGTTCCCATGTATTATCCGTCCAAAATGGAATATCCTCTACCTTTTACTGTCCAATCAAAAAAAGGTTCTTTAAAACACAATCTATTATAAGAAAAGAAAGATTTATGGATGTCAACTTCTTTATTGTGAATAACACGACGTTTCGGAGTGTATGCTTGCTCCTTCATCATCTATGACAGATTCAGACTTCAGCGTGCTTTTAATTCAGTGTCCAGGTCTGTAGCACTCATTGAAAGTGCTGCTGATGGGACTGTTCAAGTAGTAACATTAAAGCACTGTGAGAACCATAAGCTTCAAAAAAGGATGCAGCTGTTAAGTAAGGAAGCGGAAGGCGACGACATGTCAGATGAACCGAATTATAATTGAGAAGGCTGTCCATACCTGGTGGCTCAGTAATGAAAGAGCTGTTCATGCATTAAGGCAGTGACACCAATCAATCCTTGCTGACATAGATAATGATGTAGGCAATGGAAATAATTAGAGAGCTGGTAATAAGCAGAGTACCACTCTACAGGCAGTTCAAGTCTTATGAGACACTGTACACTATTCTCTGTTATCTGGATTAACCAAGAGACGGTTGTTCGAGAGACGGGATTGGAGTGTTTTGGAGCCACTGAATCTTTGAGAAAATTCAAAGACAAGCCAGGCCCATATCTTAGTTGCACTGAACACCTTGCTGACCGGTTCGACCTGGAGAAGACTGGAAGCAGACGGACAGATATCAAGTCTTCAAAGGACATGTGTTGGACCGCCTCATACAGAACATGGAAGAGAGACTACAGGTCACACCAGTCATCACAAATCTATCAGCACTGGATCAGAGGAAGGCTGGAGATGCTTCTTTGCTGACTTTCCATGGGAATGCTGAGGTATCACATTTCAGAAGTTTCTTTTTTGTGTCTCCGAGGATCACGATCAAGGGATTTGTTTGAGTATTTACCTATGAGCAGTATTCTATTTGAAATGGTATATTTTTATCTGGAATAAAATTTATTTTAATACAAGACTTAACACAATGCCAGTGTTAATTCAGAATATCATTTCACTTTAAACAAGTAATTAGTACATTTATATTATTTAATATAATTACATGTATGCATGTGTTTTTCAAGATTTTTATTACAGTATTAGAGGCCTCCAGCCCAAAGTAATGTCTTGTACTTTGCATGTGTATTTTTCTTTTCAGATAACACAGCTGTCAGACCACATTGGACTTGATGTGGACCAGCCACAGCTTGAGTAGAGCCTCTAGTCCATTTGGGTTCAAATGAGAACGACGAATGCTTAAATAACTCGAAATTGGAATACGACACATGATCCTGAAACCTCTGCACCCAACAGGATCTGAAATGTGACGTTTTATGATCGATCACGGAAAAGGTTGTTTAAGAAATTATCAGGTAATATTGTGCTATTTTCACGCTTCACACCGGGGGTGACAAATGGCTGATGTAACAGCGCCTGACCAGCTGGGGTCATCTCACCTGGCTGTGCTGAGTTGCACTTGAATGTGTGCTGATGCTGTTCCACCAGCCGTTTGTCACCCTTCGGTGTGAAGTGTGAAAATAGCACAATACTACATGATAGGACCATGTGTCTTATTTATGTTTTGTGCACTTATCCCTATTTCGAGATATTTAATCATTCATCGGTCTCATTTGAACCCATGTAAAGGAACTGTTTTCTGGGGAGCTTGACACAAGTTCACCATCAACCATTCTGAAGACCCTGACCAGCCTCAAGACTCAAATTTGATCACAGGAACAGAGTCAGCATCCAGATCTAGAACTGCTAATGAATGCCCCAGCTGCTTCGGACATTGACATGAACAAAGTTGTGACCAGATACTTGTCCAGAAAATAAGAATACTCTCTCTTGTTGATGCTGTATTTTGTGAATTTGTTAACGAATGTGATAACAGATCAACGTCTTAAGATACTTTTTTAATTATAATCTTAAATTAAATTGAGAGAAGAGTAATAAATGAACCTGAGAATTCAAATTATAAGACTGTGGGTGACATATCAATTTTGTTATTTTTCAGTGATCCTCACCACTATGCCCTTAGATGATTTATATTATGAATATGAAGTGGCCTTTTCTATTAAGTTACTCTGGACTGTCTGAATCCTAGGGGGAACACCTCTATCCAGGTAATAACTGTGAGGTCAATATAAATAGGTTGTCTTCTCATACGTCCGCACACTCAACATAATAACGACATCGAGAGGGGTCCAGTTCATTTTTGCCATGTCACTTATATTAGGGACCGTACATAATTTATAGCTGGGGTTGAGGGTGATGATTTTTATTTTATTGGAGAAGCATGTACAATGTGAATCCCCTTCCCCCAAGTTATGTATAAAATAAGTGACCCCCTGCTTGTCATGTACAAAATCAATTACCCCCGCCCCCTTCCCATAATTTTTCAGTATAATTTATGTATATGTTATGTACAAAACTGTTGAACCCCTACCTCCCCTCCTCTCTTAATATTATCACCACCACCCCTCACCCTAGCCATAAATTATGAACGATCCCTTACTGGATATAGACGTACGTGGCTCTGACTGCTGACTGCTTCATAATAATGAACCTGTTAAACAATCGAAGCGAAATACATGTCGTGTCTCTTTCCAAAAAAAGTAGGATTTTGTTGGTGGTACATTTTAAAAACATTTTGATTTAGATAGACAGAAAGTCAGTACCAGTAGGTGAACTCTGTACTGATAAAGCTATCACGGAAAGAGGATACTTAATATTGCGTGTAATCATGATATATCTAAATCTGAAAGCAAAAATGGCAGACTAGGAAAGACCATAAGGAGCAGAAATAAACATAAAGGGGCGCTGATCCAGCGCAGTTTCCGTGGACTGGTTGTTGCTTTTGTTATTGTTTTTCTCCCGTGAGACTCGGATGATATCCCAGAATTCTTGACTGCTTCGTGACCTTTGCTGCAGATAATATAAGTATAGATTCATCAACAAAGATGAAATCCTTTTCAATCGATAATATTACGTCTTCATTATTATGATAACAAATGAAAACATTTTGAAGTTTAACCATCTGC